CCAGAAGTTTAGTTGAAATATATATATAACGTATTTTTTGGGCTACAAAATATTCGAATCCGCTACTTTTTAATCTAAACTTCTGGCAACACTGGATGAATATCCCAAGACACCAACACGGTTGACCGAAGAAATATATTCCCTTTCTCTCGCTGATCCGGGCCAAAACCTGTCCTAAATAATGACCCCACACCCTTACTTGAAATAGTTATACCTCGTTATTATAGTCTCTGCCGCGGGTCCAGACGAAAGGCTAGAGGAGTTCTTACTTTAGACAAACTACGCGTAATCGTGCGATTCGTCCATCACGATCCACGATAAGCAAGCCTTTCTGACTTCAAGTCGGTACTCTCGTATTAGTATGTGTAAGTGCTTTTCAGCCCGCATAATCTTGAAGCGTGGTAGCCTTGGCAAGAGTTTATTTCTTCTTCGACCGGTCCTGAACGGGTTAAACCAGTGGTTTCCAACTGGCGGCCCGGGGGTCGCATCCGGCCCGCAAAGCCTTTTTTGTGGGCCACAAACTAAAATATATTAGCTGTAATTTTTTGCTGACAATTTTCATAAAAAATCTGTATGGGTTTAAAATACTTTTCTCGTTAATAAAAACCTAATTTCTTCATTTCTGTGAAATTTATCATACCAACGGTGCAAAAAGAATTATTTTTCAGGCTTTGCATCCAAGAAAATATTTATTCAAATACAAAAATAATCGTATATGTTGCTCTTTTTTATTTCGTTTTTTTTTTTTTTTTTTTTTTTTTTTTTGTATTTTGTGAATATAATTTAGCATGTTGTGTATCAGAAATTGTCTCGAAGAAATTCTCCGATTTAACTTTTTGAAATCACTCATTTTGGACGAAAATATTTACACACACATAAGCTAATTTTAAATTTTAAATGTAAATATCTATTCTCTGGTGGTTGCAGCAGACAAACTTCAATTTTGTCATTGAAGATTTTGTGTGCTACTATGTAAGTTTTAATACCAACCTTTTTAAAGTTTTATATCTTAACAATTAGACATCTGTTGCACATTAATTGTTCAATACATTGGTGCAAATTAAAGTTTTTGTAACCCGAATTTTTTTATATGCAAGTAAATATTTTTGAAAATCCACTTCTTATTTTAATTTGTAATTCAATACTTTTGTTTTGTACAACTTGGTGAAAATCTGACAGTAATATTTAATGTTCCTTCAAACATAAAAGAGTCCTACATAAAATTTTGATAAAGTTACGGCCCGCCATTTGATTTGTGTTTTTAATTGTGGCCCCCGACCTCATGTAAGTTGGAAACCCCTGGGTTAATCTATACTGTTCAGAGTAGACATGCTCTGTCCCCCCCCCCCAAATGTTTTATAAATTATGTTTAATGCAATAACGTTTCTCCCTTCTTAAAAGTAAAGTTGTATTTTCCTCCAGTATCCATATTATGTTCACCCAACAAAAGCGAATTCCGACCAGACTAAAAAATTTAATACCACGGCAAAGATATAAAATTCAAAAAGTTTAACATCTAAAATTCAAATATTATTTAAAATTTATAAAAAATTTTCCCAAAAAATTGATTTTGACTTAAATAAAAAGAATTTGGTGACATATTAAAACGCAATAAGAGAAACAAAATAAACGAAAAGTGTTTCTGAAAATCTGTGCTATAGATTCAGAAAAAGAAACTAATTAAGAAAGATAATAAAATAAATGCGTTTTTTTTAGATAATAAAACAAATCTATAAGAATAAAAAGTAAATTTTTCTACAAGTACATAGCAGATGTTTGTTAGCAGATGACGTAAGAATGTTTAGGATATAAAATGCAAATTTGAGAGTGAAATCGGTTGCCATTTTGAGTACAAAAATCCATCTGAAGCTAGTTAGCAACTCAATGAAGATTGCAAACTCAAATTTGCCGGCCTTTAGCGTGGAAAGTCTTTTAAAATTTTTAAAATTCGTTAATAGATTTCCCAACCAATTAAAATTCATTAATAGATTTCCCAACACTGTTTTTATTTTAACTCTGAATTTCGATTAGCACATTTAAATTTAAAAATTTCTTAATGCAGTATTATTTTCTCTTTTTCACATTTATCAGTTTTTATATTTTCTTTGAAAAGTTCTTATTATTTCACATAATACTTGAACTTTTTAGTCAGTTTCCCTTTTTGTGATTCTAAAAATAACATTTTCGAACGAACCAATGCGAAAAATTCAATCTCTTATAACTGACTTGAAATAGATTTTTTTAAAAACTATTTTAAGCCATATTTTAACACTTAAAAATCTGTATTTAATACATATAGTTTCATAAAATGACCTTTCAATTTTTTATTCTGTTTCGTTTGAGAAATTTAGACTTAATATTAGAAAAAACAGATCTTTTCTTTTTTTTTCTTCAGTTTTTTCTTCATTTTAGGAATTCTAATTTCAAATCATGCATTTAAACTTTTTTAATTCATTGCGTAAAGTCAATTGCTACATAATTCATACAAATACTCTTAAGAATTTGGTTCAGTAAAACTATTCAACTACTAGCACGGTGAAGTACTTTGTACAACTAAAAATTCTTTTCACAACACTATAAAAATATTTAATTTATTTTCTTCGTATATACACGGAAACAGCTGGCGAAGAATTCTGCTAAACAACATTACAAGTTAAAAAAACATTTTGGCTAAAAAAAGAACGAATTCTAAAAAGAAACAAAATTAAAATAAAAATGCTGTTGCCAGCCATAAAAATTTTTAAAAAATAACTTAGCATAAATCAAAAGGGCAACTAGATCATACAAGCGCAGCTAGATCAAAAAGTGCAACCTAAGCGCTTGAAATAACACACGGCTTTCACAGATATTTTGAGTTTAAAATTAGCATTTATTATTATTATTTATTTATTTATTTTAGTTGAAGGAAATCGCAAAGAAGTTGAAGATCGTTTAAGAAACAGAGCTGTAGACGAGGCGAAGGGAAATCAGCTTAACGATGTAAGTTCAATAGATACTAATTATGTACATCCTATAAAAATACGTTCTATTTGAATTGTAAATAATCTAATCACACATTAAAATGAAGCGTGATAAAGTTTTCGAATGACTTTAGAAACGCATACTGAAATAACTCAAAAATGACCGATGAAGACCAAGGGTAAAAAACGATTTATATCCATTCTTCAAGTAAAATGATGATTGGATCAAAATCTGTTGCATTTTGAGGAATTATAAGTTTTGACAAATCAATAACGCGGAAAATCGATTCTCCCTTGAATTATTACATTTTAACACGTTGGCTACCGCACGCGTTCACAGTGAAATCTCCTTCAGGCCACGAGTACCGCTGTACGAAGCGTATTCTGCTAAGTATTCCTACCGATATTTTAATAATACTAGTCTCTGGTGGTCACAAGAATAATATCTCGCCCCGTTCGTTTTCATGGTATCACGTCTGTTTATTTGTGTCCGTTGCTTTGCATCTGTTTCTCATCTCGCCACTTTACACGATCAGTTTAAATCGTTGCCGATAAAAGAGGAGTATAATTTAAAATCTTTACCCTAATTCGTTGAAAGTTCGAAAAAGAAAAATGGAAAACTTATTTCTTAGTCAAATAGCAGTGAACAAGAAAGATTTTATGATGGTCACAATAATTTTCTTTATAAATCATTTTTGGTTCACTTTTATAACAATTCAATAGTTTTGTTACTTCCTGTGAAATATCTTTTCAAATACATACGAATATCTTTCGCAAATAGTCAAATAAGTGTCACCCCAATACTGGTGACGCGACCCGATCAGAAATTTTGCTGTCACCCGCATATATGGGTGACGCGGCAGTCAACGTGTTAAAGATGAGCAACTTTGGAGGGAACATCGTTACTGTCCACCTCTCATAGACAAGGTGAACAACGAAAAGCACCAAAGTCAACATTTTTGATGGTTTTCCATTGATGGACCAACATCATCGTGATGGTAACCATCAATAATTCCATCATGAACCATTATGTTTTTCAATAGTAACCAACATAAGTAAACATCACCCCAATGTAGGAATTCTGACTGATTTATGATGGTCCAACATAAGAATATCAACTTGAGTTGATGATTTGTTTATGTTGAACCATCACGAATTTATATCGTAGTATCTTAGAAATCAAATGTTGGAACGATCATGAAGAGCCATCCTCCTAAAGTAGGAATTCTGACTGATTTATGATGGTCCAACATTAGAATATCAACTTGAGTTGATGATTTGTTTATGTTGAACCATCACGAATTTATATCGTAGTATCTTAGAAATCAAATGTTGGAACGATCATGAACAGCCATCCTCCTAAAGTAGGAATTCTGACTGATTTATGATGGTCCAACATTAGAATATCAACTTGAGTTGATGATTTGTTTATGTTGAACCATCACGAATTTATATCGTAGTATCTTAGAAATCAAATGTTGGAACGATCATGAACAGCCATCCTCCTAAAGTAGGAATTCTGACTGATTTATGATGGTCCAACATTAGAATATCAACTTGAGTTGATGATTTGTTTATGTTGAACCATCACGAATTTATATCGTAGTATCTTAGAAATCAAATGTTGGAACGATCATGAACAGCCATCCTCCTAAAGTAGGAATTCTGACTGATTTATGATGGTCCAACATTAGAATATCAANAAGTTTCTGTACGATTTTAATAACAATGAAAAAAAAAACAGTGATTGACTGGTGTATGAATGAAGGTTTAATTAGTAATAGATATAAATGTCCTGTTTGTGGGTTACCACGGCGTTCCGGGCAAACAAGTATGGAGCCAAACATAAGTCGCCAATTTCGCCAAGGGGCACCCTCAAGTATATTTTTCCCAAACTATTCAACTACTAGCACGGTGAAGTACTTTGTACAACTAAAAATTCTTTTCACAACACTATAAAAATATTTAATTTATTTTCTTCGTATATACAGGGAAACAGCTGTCGAAGAATTCTGCTAAACAACATTACAAGTTAAAAAAACATTTTGGCTAAAAAAAAGAACGAATTCTAAAAAGAAACAGAATTAAAATAAAAATGCTGTTGCCAGCCATAAAAATTTTTGAAAAATAACTTAGCATAAATCAAAAGGGCAACTAGATCATACAAGCGCAGCTAGATCAAAAAGTGCAACTTAAGCGCTTGAAATAACACACGGCTTGCACAGATATTTTGAATTTAAAATTAGCATTTATTATTATTATTTATTTATTTATTTTAGTTGAAGGAAATCGCAAAGAAGTTGAAGATCGTTTAAGAAACAGAGCTGTAGACGAGGCGAAGGGAAATCAACTTAACGATGTAAGTTCAATAGATACTAATTATGCACATCCTATAAAAATACGTTTTATTTGAATTGAAATTAATCTAATCCTTACACATTAAAATGAAGCGTGATAAAGTTTTCGAATGACTTTAGAAACACATACTGAAATAACTCAAAAATGACCGATGACGACCAAAGGTAAAAAACGGTTTATGTCCATTTTTCGGAAAAATGACGATAGGATCAAAATCTGTTGCATTTTGAGGATTAATTAGTTTTGACAAATCAATAACCCGGAAAATCGATTCTCCCTTGAATTATTAAACTTTAACACGTTGTCTACCGCACGCGTTCACAGTGAAATCTCCTTCAGGCCACGAGTACTGCTGTACGAAGCGTATTCTGCTAAGTACTCCTACCGATATTTTAATAATGCGAGTCTCTGGTGGTCACAAGAATAATATATCGCTCCGTTTATTTCCATGGTATTATGCCTGTTTATTTGTGTCCGTTGCTTAGCAACTGTTGCTCTTCTCGCCACTTTACACGATCAATCTTTGACGAGTAAAGAGGAGTATAACTTAAAATCTTTACCCTAATTCGTTCAAATTTCGAAGGAAAAAAATGGAAAACTTATTTCTTAGTGAGTCAAATAGTCGTGAAGGCTTTTACGATGCTCACAACAATTTTCTTAGTAAATAATTTTTGTATTACGATTCAATAGTTTTATTACTTCCTGTGAAATATCTTTTCAGCTGCATACGAATATCCTTCGCAAGTAGTCAAATAAGTGTCACCCCAATACTGGTGACGCGACCTTAAGTATAAACTTTGCTGTCACCCGAATATGGGTGACGCTGCAGTCAGCGTGTTAAAGATGGAGGGAAAACGGTTACTGCTCCCCTCTCGTAGACAAAATGAACAACGAAAAGCACCTAAGTCAAAATTTTTGATAGTTTTCCATTGATGGACCAACATCATCGTGATGGTAACCATCAATAATTCCATCATGAACCATAATATTTTTCAATAGTAACCAATATAAGTAACCATCACCCCAATGTAGGAATTCGAACTGATTTATGATGGTCCAACATAAGAATAATGCGTTGATAGTTTGATAGTTTGCGTTGATACTTGCGTTGATAGTTTGTTTACATTGAACCATCACGAATTTCCACCGTAGTATCTTAGAAATCAAATGTTGGAACGATCATGAACAAGCACCATTCCCTGGGAAAACATCGTTTGCTTCCAGTGTGGCGCCGTGCTCCATCCCATCAGTGGTATGCTGAAAACCACCCTGGCCTATCATTAACATGCTGCGGCCCTCGGCTTTTCCAATCGGCCATGGCCAGATTTCGTAGTGGCCATCTCAAGTGTTCAAGGTTTCAAAATGGGGAGAAGACTTTCCAACCTTGTTCCTGCTCACAACCTGCTAGTCCTGCTCACCTTCTTTTTTGCCTTGATGCTTCTTTTAAGCTGCTGCTGGTTGATCGGGACTTTCTGCAGATATATGGGGAACTGAAGCGACGGGCTTTCTGGACCTGGTCCAGGCTTTCGTTCTCCAGGGGGATGTGTAACAACAACAGAACACAGCCATCCTCCTAATGTAGGAATTCGGATTGATTTATGATGGTCCAACATAAAAAAGACCAAATTGTTTTGATGGTATGTTCCTGAGAACCAACAAGAATTCTCATTGAATCATCATGGAAATGTACAGTTGGAACCATCCTGGATTGTTAGTCCATGAGAGTCAAACTTCTGTTGATGGTCAACGATCATAGCATTAAAGTAGCATTTTCCATCATGGAATGATGGAAAACCATGAAGGTATAATGAAAAATGTTGGATGATGGTGACCATCAAATGATGTTGGACTATCATGAATCGCACTGAAAGACGTGATAGTGAAGACGACGGGAAATTTACTGAGGAAACATATTGGAGAGGAATTTCGAGAAAAGAACGGTTCTTGTTCATCCCGATTTTCTATTTTTTTTCCTCAACATCAAAAATTGTAAAGTTTGTTTTGAAATTTTTGGGGGATATATAAAAACGGTTGTGATATTCATGTACATTTTTTTACGATTTCAATCGTTTGCTAGCTCCTGCACAATCTGAAAACTTTAAATTCGTGCATTCATTCTAAGTCGACATCGAAAATTACGACTTTCAAAACTTAAACTTTCTTTCATTTTTAGTAACTAGTAACCACAGTATTTTATGAATTTTAGAAATTTTATATTGAAATATCATTCAAATTTGTTGTAACCTGGTTGAACCATATTATGATATTTCTTAACCAGGATAACGTGATGCTGTTGTTCAACGTGAACGAAAAGGTAGTTCAAATTAACACCTTATAAAGGTTCTGGAAAATTTGCATTATATTAACCTTATGCACTCCAATGTCACCTCTGAGGTACAGGGTAACAAAAAAGTATAGGGATCACTTTTGTGGTTATCTACCACTAAAGCTTTAAAACCTTTTTACATATATAGCATACTGATCTGAAGCTCTGCTATTAGACTTTCAATTGCAATACTATTTCATAAAATCACAAAAATGCCTTTGAAGAAATTTGACAAAAAGCTAATTGGTCAAGTACAAGCATTTTTAGAACTTCGATGGAGCCACAGGATTATACAAACCCATTTTAAAAAGAAATGTATTGCGATTTCACTTAGCCATATCAGTCGCATCAATAATTCAAAACTCGGATCGATGCAAAATAATGCAAAACCAAAAAGAAGTGGACGGCCAAGCAAAATGAAGAAATCAGATTTGCAGAAGCTTGATAAGATGACATCAAAACCGGATCCACCAACACAGGCAAGCATGGCTAAAGCTCTTAACGTGAGTCAGCAAGTTGTAAGCTGTCAACGAAAACAAAAGTTGAAGAAAAAATGCCAAAAAAAACCTAAATGTCATCATTTAAGTGAGAGATCGGTGCAGATTAGCTTAGTGGGCAGAACAGGCGAGACTTGACACCATCAACCACGGTACCTCACCCCAAAAGCGTAATGGTTTGGATGGGCATATCTGCCCATGGTGCGACCAAACCTCGGTTTGTGAAACCTGGTGCCAAAATAAATTTTGAGTATTACATACAGAAGATATTAAAGCCCTTTCTTAAGGATGATTACTGCAGATTGCACCCCAATGGTGATACTGAGTTCCAAAAGAACTCTGCCCCATCGCATGCATCTAAGGTCACCCAGAAATTCCTAACAGATCAGCAAGTGCAATTCCTGAGACCAGAACAATGGATTCCAAACAGTCCTGATGCTGCACCATGCGACTATTTCCTATGGGGACATCTGAAAAACAAACTGAATAAGCGAAGAATTTCTACATTGAGAGGCCTTCAAAAAGCTATTAGAGAAGAGGTGAAGAAAATCCCCCAGGAAATAATTTTGCGGGCTTTAAAATCATGGCCGAAGCGTTGTAGACAAATCTATTAAGCCGGAGGTCGACATAATGAGAAGCATCGCTGAATTTAAGTAATAAATTTCGGAAATAAAAACATTCAAAAATGATCCCTATATTTTTTGTTACCCTGTAGACATCGAAAACTACCATTCTCAAACTTAAACATTTTAAATTTTTAGTAACTAGTAACCACAGTATTTTGTGAATTTTAGATATAGTATTATGTAAATACATATATTATAGTGCAAAAATATAGTATTATGTAATTATTAAAAACAAATTTTCATTACTATAACTTTAAAAATTGTTGAAAGACATTTCATTATTTCCAGGCTAAAGAAATGGTTTCGAAAATAAAAACCATGATCTCCGAAATACAGGAATATTGCATGGAGGAAATAATGGCTGGACCTGATCCGTTTTATACAACAACACGGAACGGATTTCAGATGACATTTTACAAGTAACTAATTCTATCCATGGATACTTACAATTTAGTAACTCTCTTTTTAGCTACTTTATTCTCATGTACTTCATTTAAAAAAAATAATAATAAAAACTGAACATGTAAAGTATTCTCGTAACAATCCATACTAACCCGGAAGATAATATTCCCTAGCTTCGAGACCAACAGAATGATGATGGCAATTCTCTCAATGCCACCTTTATTTGTTTGGGAGGCTGTATCCTTTTGTATAAAGCTGGTTGGGCTTCAAGCCGCCCTTATGAATTAAATCCTAACCCATATCACTGAACCGCAATGGCTCAGGGGATAGAGCATTCGCCTTTCAATGAGGTGAACCGGGTTCGAATCTCTGGGATGACTGGTCGGTACGAATCTGCATCCGGCTTGCACCGACCACAGTGCTGACGTGAAATATTCTCAGTGGTAGACGGATCATGGGTTAATGTCCCTTTGCCGTCAGGCTAACCGTGGGCCGTTCTCGTGGTCTTCCTCTCCATGTAAAGCAAATGCGGGTTAGTTCCATCACGAAGTCTTCCACGAAGGTAAATTTCTCCCAATACTTGATCTAGGAGTTCCCTTGTCTTCTGGATTGGGTTCAAAATGACAAGGCTACGGAGTTGACCATTAGTCGTAAACCCAAAACATTGAATCGGCTGTTCAACGACAGTTATAAAATAGCCCATATCATTGACAGATCCTTTGACCACTCAACCATCGCGGATCACTGTAATAAAAATAATTGAAGAAAAATTTAATTTCAATTTTTTTTTTGTAACTGAAATCCCTATCAGCAAAACAACTTTGGCTCTCATTGGACCAACATTCACAAATCTTGACTTAATAAGGGTTCAAAGCTCCCATATTTTTCCGATATGAGCCCTTTATAGAATTGTCCGATTCACCCCTTATTTTACTGCCACTTTATAGCCAATTCTTACCAATCTCTGATTCACAGGCTTACAAAATGCCTGAAATACTTACGAGATAGTTTGTCAATTACTAACCCATTTGTCGATGCCTTGATTCACCCGTTTATTAAACCTCTAGAACACTTACGGGTTAGTTCGTCAATTAATAATCCATTGATCGGTGAAGGGATTCACCCATTCGCTAAGAGACCTGTCGATTACTTACTCATTTGCTGTTGCATTGATTCCCCGTACGCTAATTTACTAAACTACCTGTGCACTAGTTTGTCAATTACAAACCCATTTCCAATGAAATCGACCCCAATTCACTAACTACTCACACCCACTAACTATTCCACATCCAGTGTAATAGTTAGAGGGAAACTTCAAATTACTTATACTTTGACTTGCTCACTTCCTACTCATTCTTTTATTCACAAAATACACCAAGAATCATTCGTAATAATGATTGCCATTGATCTTGACTCCAGTTCGAAACGAAGTAGTATAAAAAGTAATAAATGTAGTTTTAAAAAAAAGTGAACACGATTGATTAAACTGTTTTAACCCTTTGCGGTCGTATGTCTACTCTCAACCACCACACCAAATATGTTAGCCACAGCTTAATGTCAAACTACATCGATTGCGTCACTGTAAAGATTGTTCTGTATGTTCAAACAGAAAATTTAAGGACGCCAAACTAATTATTTTGTTGGCACATGCTCGGGAAAACCAGAGCTTCATATTAGTTGTTGTAGTTAATTTACGTCGCACTGCAGCTGCACAATGGGCTATTGGCGACGGTCTGGGAAACATCCCTGAGGATGATCCGAAGACAAGCCATCACAATTTTGATCCTCTGCAGAGGGGATGGCACCCCTGCTTCGGTAGCCCACCAACCTGCACGCGGAGTCGAGCACTTTACGGTAGAACAGTTTAACGAGGACCAATACCGCACACCCTCTGTCCCTACCCAGTCTGATCCAAGGCTTCATATTGGAGACTGCTTTGAAAGCAGTTGTAAAGAACTATAAAATATAATTTTTACATAAAATTAAAACATATTATTGTGTTGCATATATCTAAAGTTTAAAAAAGAATTCTTGCATATTTGTTCGTTCAACGAAAATTAATTCAGATCAGCATGACACCCACATTTAAACTTAAGACGAGTTATTACTTACAACGTCAAAACAAAACATTTCACTTTATTTAAAAAAAGTGTATTCAATTTTTAAAAAAATAAATTTTTAAGACCATGGTAGATTAGAACTAACCTGTTTTCGAATAATTTTCAGAGACTTTGCTACGAATTTATCGAACGAAAATATACAGCAAGGGGACTCTTCAATCACTTTACCTAATATATGCAAAACTCTTGACCAAAATGATTGTGATGATAATCAACTCATAGTCGGAATACAAGTAAGAGATTTTTTTTCAATTTTTAATACTTGAAATCATAATCATGGAGTGCGATTGTTCCTGTTTTTCAGTGGCGCCATCTATGGCCAGGAATCAGAGCTTTCGTATTCAGAGCTTTCGTTTTAAAATTTTACTACTCCTAATCTCTCATGTTTTGCTTGTTTATTGTTTTCTGTACTGTTTATGTTTCCTGTTTGTTCTTCCGGTATGTACAGTGCGCAAAATAATAAGACCACCCTCAATAACTTTTAATCAACTGATCGGATCATCACGTTTTAGAACTCAATCTTAATGGTTCAAGGGGGTGACTTAAGATATGTAAATTATGTAGAGCAGACGATATTTTAAGTTAAGAAATCAGACACAAAAACGTACTTTCTCCTAATAAACATACCTTTTTTGACAGATTCGGATTTCAGAACCCCAAAATGTAGGGGATAGCCAGAATCTGGTCCAACGTTTGGGTCGATTAATGTTGCTTATTTTGCTACATATCGAGAAATTGTAAATTTTTTGCTCACAATTGTAAAATTCGTTTATTTAATTATTATTCCGTGCGAAAAATAAATTTTAGTATATATTTATTACTTCTATTATTTCATTTAATAATGCTCAGAAAAATTGAAAGCAAGTTAATTGTATGGTATAAAATGTTTTGCATAATTTTAAAATTTGTAATTTCAATTGGCAGAATACAAAGTTTGAACCGAATCGGTTGAATAGTTCCTGAGCAATTGAAATGTAATGAAGTCGAATATTATCAAAAGTTACTCAGGGTGGTCCGTTTTTTTTTCTTCCTTTTCTTTTTTTCTTCTTTTTAGCGCACTGCAGTGACATGATATGAAGTACTATTTATAAAATAAAGAAACCCTTAATTAAGTTTTATTCAAACAAGACAATCTTTTTAATTTGTTTCTATATTGAAGAAATGAAGGATAAATGAACTAAGTGGCATTTTTGTGAATTTGAGTAACTTAACTTTAAAAATGTATGCGTTGATAATTGAAATAAATATTATGCTTCGCCGTTAAGTCTTTACCACATGCTTCGAATCGGCGCTGTCTATAAAATCCTAATAGTTATTTAAACTGTTCACATCATATAGTTCACTGGGTTAACAGTTTAATGGCCTGCCAAAAAAAAGGAAAAAGGGTTCACTGGGTTAACAGTTTAATATCCTGCCAAAAAAAAAGGAAAAAGGGTTCACTGTTCCCGTTTAAATATCGTGCCAAAATCATTCTAAATTTGTTACTGATCTTTTGTTCTCAAATGTATTTGGAACTTTGTTTCTCAAAACACTCAAATATTATCATTAGTATATCTTCATTCACCCTCTGAAGAATCAAAAAATTCATTGGTTCGACAAAATGAATCAATGTTTGGATAGAAAACCGTATAAATCTCAGCACAAGTGGCAGTCACTGGTATAAAGTCACAATTTGACTTAAAGGTACCTTTTGCCAATTTATTTTTATGCCTAAGCTCAAAAACACTCTATCTTATAATGTTACTGGTAGTGTTTACAATAAGACTCATACTATTTGCCATTTAGTGTGTAAATAAAGGGTTTACCAAGGATACGTGTCTACTCTTCGTTGCTAAATATACTTGGAACTTTATTGTTCGCAATATTGACGTTTAAATATTGAAATTTTCTAAATTTGTCACTGACTTTTTGCTTCCAAATGTATTTGGAATCTTCTTTCACTCAAACATTATCACTTAGTATACCTTCATCCACCCTCTAAAGAATCAAAAATTTATTGATTCGAAAAAATGAATCAATGTTGCGTGGATAGAAAACTGTATAAAGCTCAGCTCAGTTGGCGTTCACTGGTAAAAATTCACCATTTGATTCCCAGATTACTATTTCCGTTTTGTTTTTACGCCTAAGCTTTAAAAACACGCAGTCTTATATTGCAATTGGAAGTGTTCACTATAAGACTTGTGATTGTGAGTAATACCATTTAGTGTGTAAATCCATATAACCTCAGCTGAAGGCATAAAAAATTAAAAACAACACTCAAGACAGTGTAATATTTACGTCGTTATATTACTTTTTTGAAATGGATTATTTTTTAGAATTTGTGAAATACAGAAAAATCTTATGAATGGTAAAATTACATACAAATTTAAATACAAATTACAATAATAAAACTTGTTAGAATATCAGGCTTATCCACACATCGCCTCTTAAACTTAACCAAACCAGAGGGATTCCTTTCCGGTTTTAGAATCTTGTTCTTGTTTACACTCAGTTCCCCACCACAAATTACAGTAATAAAACTTGTTAGAATATCAAGCTCATCCACACAGCGTCTCTTAAACTTTGAATGTTGTTATTACATGTTGTTAGACTCATATCCCCATCCATAGTCAAATAAAACTGGAAAACTCCCCAGGAGAAATCTAATTTTTTTTAAATGTCACTTAAAACATTTTATCACTAAGCTGCTTGAATATTCTATTGCAGGCTGTTCGTTGGACCCAACCTCTAGAATCGCACAGTGAAAACTCAGCCATTTTGAATGAAAAATCTAACGTCATTCAGATCGACATCACATCTCGAGAAGGGAATTCAACTATACCAGTCAACAATACCGGAGATCCTTTCATCATTTGTATCCCCGTTTCGAAAGACAACGATCCAAACAATGGCATGGAATTCATCGTACCACGGTTTTCCAGCAACGAGGATATATTCGTATACCACACGGTGTTTGTGGATTCCTCTGGAGTAGGAGTCACCGTCAATCTAAAACCAGATAACAACAGTGAATCGTTAATTGTTATATACAAATACGGTGATTACCCGTCTTTGCACGACTATGATGGACTTACAAGACTTGACGATATTCCGATTGTAGATGGTAATTTAATTTTTATGATCACATTTTCATAATATAGATAAAAATTTATCCAAAGCCATTAGGATCCTTAAGAGTTAGTTTAAATTTCAACTTAATTATAATACACTAATGGAAAAAATTTCTAACACAAAAAGGAAATATTGTAGAGCAATGAAATTTTGGCAATGCGTTTGTCTGAGTGACATATTTAATTGATCAAAGTTTCTAGATCACAGATTAAGAGAAAAATCCTTTCAAATGTGAAATACTGGTACATTAATAACTGGTGTAACCACCCGAATTTTTAATGCAAGCCTGCATGGTGTTATACAGATGCCGTATGTAATTTTGTGGGATGGAGTTTCATGCCTGTTGCACTTGGTCAGTCAATACGGGGTTAGCTAATGCTAGTTGTGGAGGACGCTGAAGTTGTCGTCCAACGATGTCCCATACGTGCTCGATTGGTGAAAGATCTGGTGATCTAGCATGAACAAGCATCTGGTGATCTAGGATGAACGTAATATGAAAAAAAGAAAAACCTTCTCTTTTGAAGGAGGAAAATCACTGTCTCAAAACAGAATTTGTAAAGCCGGCCAGATGGCGGAGCAAATAGCAAAGCTATTGATTGCGGTTTTGAATCCCGCTCGGAGCATAGATGCCTCTCTATCTGTAGTTGTTCTCTGTTGTGACCCATCCTATGAACTGTCTGTGGCAGTTTAGCAAGGGTAAAGTTGCTCACCGTCGTGACTCATGTCACCCACCGAGGAGCACCACTTCCGGTATCTTCGGTGGTGAAAAAATTAAACAAACAGTAGAAACTAAAACAGCAAACTAGAAAAAAAATCGTAAAGAAATAGTTTTCAGTCTAAAAGTTTACTGAATTAAGTAAAAAGAATTAAAGATCAGCATAGTTCTTTTGCTGTAGCGACTGAGAATAGTAGACATACGATCGCAAAGGGTTGATATCAGCCAATTTAAATATCGGGCACCTGTCATGCACTACCCTAAAAATTGACCTCGACTACACCTCTCTTAACCCTACAACCGACAAAAATCAATTTCTGTTTAAATGTGCTGTTGATATCATTTTTGCCCTAATTTATGCAAGGGCACAAGAAATTCTACCCAAAAAGCAAATAGACTAATAGGAACACAAAAAGGGGAAAGAAAATCACTGTAGTTTGTCTAAAGGAAGAACTCCCCTATCCATGAAGTCTAAGGTCGTCTGCTTCTATGGAAACAAGAAATTACGCATTTCAAAAGGGGGAGTTTTTTCTCTCTCCTGATTCCCATTCTCTTGCCGACCCGAGCAAAGCTTGTCTTAAATAATAGCCCAGCACCCCCACTTAAAATAGTTAAACCTCGTAACCATAGTCACCGCTATTACTCCAGGTGAATAGCAAGGGCAATTGTTTACATAGACAAACTGTAAATAACTTCGGGGTCACACGAAGGTCGTAGAAACCTCCTAGAGGACTGAACTCAACAAGTTCAGCTTAAAAACTTCTACTTGATAGATATCAGAAGCGCAGATTCCACAGACTGCTGAATACTCAGTTATTTCAAATCAGGTGAAAGTGCTAAATCTCTTTATTTAGTATTCCGTATGTACATACTGCTTAGCGGAGTTATTACAGAACAGGTTCTGTTTTCTACAAATCTTGAGCATAATGTACTACATAAATAAGCGTGCTGGATGCTACTTTCTAAATCTATCTAATGTTAGCAATTTCATTTGTTTTAGGTATACATTCCCTATTTATTGGATCAGACGTAATCAAAGAGAGTGGAAAAAACTTAACAGTTGGAATCGGTCAAATATCTAATACAACTGATGTGAAGGTTGTTTTTGAAAATCCAGAAGAACATAACCTAACGGAAGCAAACATGACAAATCAATTTTCCTCTAATTACTCCATCAAAGTTGCTACAACTGGGTGTTACTATTTTAGCGATTTGGAAGAAAGATGGAGTACAAATGGATGCCAAGTATAAAACAATTAACTGTCGGGTGTTCTAAAAAGAACTAACTGTTTGAAAAAACAATTAAAGAAAATCAGAAGGAGATGTAAATGTATTGTTTGCTACTTAAGAAACCAAATCATCTCCCGAATATTCAGAATTAGTTACCATAATTTTAGGGGATATTTCCGTACCGTGATCTGTCACGCCAACTACAATCCCCAAGATGCCAAATAGATATTAAAGTTGCGAATTTCTTTTTAAAAAAAAACATTTATGTATTTGCTAGGGTGGCTAGTAGTTATACCTTTCGAGTTGGTCCCTTTTTGTGATGTTTTTTTTTTTTTTTTTTTTTTTTTTTTTTNTATTTGAAGAGTATTCTATTTGCTAAGACTGGGCAATTAATCTGCCACAAAAATCACAATATTGAAATCTTCCCACAGATGCTGAAGACTAGCTGGGAAAAAACCTGATTTTTTTTTAATAATTACCATTCGCAGCAACAACGTGACCTTACATGAAAATAAAATTTACCGGCGTTCCGAAAATATTTCAGACAGAATGGTCTAACATACAGCAGAAAACATGGTTTTAGGGAGCATTCTTACTGCATGTCATTCGCACCTAAATGCGATTCACGCATGCTTAAACTGTTCTTAAATCTCTAAACTTTCATATACGCGTCTATGGTAATCGATTGCAGTGTGAATGGCCGCTTGTGGTTTTCATTCAGTAGCGCCATCTGTTAACAAGCTTTGATAATTGTATTTATATTTATAAATTCGTTGTGAAAATCTAGTTTCCTACAAACAATACATTAGTAGCCCTTTTTTAATTGTTTTTTCAAATCGTTGACCGTTTCAGGGATACTCTTTTAATATTTACTAAATTAGAAATATATTTTGAGTGTTTGTTTAATTTTTTTTCTCATTTTAGGTTGTCAGTAGCCTTTCTACTGTAACTTGCTGTGCGTGCAACCATCTGACTTCCTTTGGAAGTGGATTTTTCATTGCACCAAATAAGATTGATTTCAGTTATGTATTTTCACACGCTGGTTTTTCAAACAATGTCACAATATATGCCACGATTATAGTTATTTTCTCTTCGTTTATTTTGTTCTTGATATTTGCCAGATGGAAAGACAGAAAAGATTTGGAAAAGGTAATCGTATGTTCCTCATCGTTTTGATATCATTGATATTTTAAACAAAAATACTTGATAATTAGCATTAAAAATTTATCCGTCACTGTACCTTAAAAATATATACTCTTAAGTAAGAAAATACATGATTTTAAAGAGTAAATGCTTCTGCACTGAAATCAATTGAAGGGACAAATGTTGTTTTGCAATAAATAAAAAAAGCAAAGCAAATAAAACCAAACTTGTCCAATACAGCAGCTGACCAATCATAGAAAAACATGCCTAATTTAAATATCGCCTATATCAGCTACACATTCTTCGCTTCGACATCGTCCTTAGGCAACCCATACGTCACCAACTGACATCGCAGACCACAGCAATCATTGAATATTCTACAATTTGAGGTATTCGTCCAAAAACTGAAACCTGTTTTGAAGGGCGTTATCGTCCCTAAAGATGAAATTTGGTCAATATGCTCTACAGAAAAATCTTACATGTGAAGCAAAGATACTCCGTTTGTAACGTTGCATCGGTTAACGCTTTAAACGACCATTTTTTTAGTAATATTAAGTTAAAATATTTTTTGGATTCAGATTGATTTATAAACATTTTAAACTTTTCTTGTGGAAAAGTGAGTTGGATTTTTAAAATTTCAACAACTGTGAAGAATCGGCCGTAAACTTATAGGCTTACACAAAACCGAATTTATAAATTCTGTGTTTTATAGTTACGAATAAACTCGATGAGAAATAGCCGATTGAACTACAGCATAACGCACCTGAAAAAATTGGTTCAAGAACTAGCCTCTCTTCCTGACCCCACACTAACTTTCACTGTTACCCATATTTATGAAAATAAGTCCTTTATTATTATTATTATTATTATTATTATTATCATTATCATATTTGCTGAAGCTATCAGCAGGTAAGTGATTAAGAAAATTAATGAATTTGGTTTTTCTTAAATGAAAGTATTTGGTAAAAATTAATCGATTATGTAGATTTACCACGCCCTTATAAACCATTAAATTACAAGATGAGGCCATTAAAATTGAAAACTAACCTAATAACCCCTGATAATATTATCCGAATTCCGTTCCTATTTCTTATTTTTCGAAGAGACCTCTATCACTCTATGTCTATACCTCTATAATGTACTTCAGAACAACTTTAAAGTCCTCGTTTAGAAAGGTTTTTAATTATTACTTTCTTAATGTCTTACTCTTAGCTATTAGTTTGCGAGATCAATCTAATGATTCCTGAACATATTGTTCAAATTGCATACACCCATAAAATACACTTCGAAGTAACCTCTACTTGTTGAAATGCGTTTCTCTACTGAGCTGTAAAATTCCTCGAAACAACTTTTAAAGTTCTCGTGTCAGTCATCAATTTCGGTGTCGACAATATATTTATGTCTTCGACATCTTTAAATCGACTGCCTTATTCGGATTTCCTAGTGGCCATTTCCGAAGATTTAGATCTTATAGGGTCCTAAATCGACTGCCTTATCCGGATTTCCTAGTGTCCATTTCCAAAGACTTAGATTTCATAGGGTCCTAAATCGACTGCCTTATCCGGCTTTCCTAGTGGCTATTTCCGAAGACTTAGATCTTATAGGGTCCTAAATCGACTGCCTTATCCAGATTTCCTAGTGGCCATTTCCGAAGACTTAGATTTTATAGGGTCCTAAATCGACTGCCTTATCCGACTTTCCTAGTGGCCATTTTCGAAGACTTAGATTTCATAGGGTCCTAAGGTTTTTTTTCGTTCTGAAGTAGCTGAAGAAGCTCCCCTGGACAGCATTTTGGGCTGCTTGCAATTCACCCCCGATGACCTAAATACAGATCTTATAAATGATTCTGGACTTTTTACATGTTTATAATCTTATAGAACTAGTCTAGCTGTTGTTAGACATGGGATATCAAACAACAGCAAAAACATTTAAATCTTGTTCGTTTTTCCAAGAGATTTTTCGGAAGAGTAAAGTTATCTTTACAGCCTGTTGAAACCAAAAAATTAGTTAACAAAATGTAAAGAAATCGAAGTCATGCAGGAAATCACAACGTCATATTTGAAGAGTATTCTATACCAGGACTTCAAAAGTCGAGTCCAAAATTTTAGTCATTGAGTGCAGACTTCTGCAAGAATTATAGAAGTATTGCCTCCACACAGTTAAATGGCAAAGCGAGACGGCTCAATGCTTCACCTGGTGTAAAACTGTATATATAACGCTCCTATTTCGAGGTAAATGGAAAAAGATAATTACGGAGTGCTAATTTACAATCCAGCAGCCTTTAACGACTCGGTCTCTTTGGAGATTTTCCCCTTAGCTGTAGTTGTTTCTAATTATTTCTATCAAGCTTTTATTTCTTTTAAAATTTGTTATCTAAACTGTAAAAAGGTCATCAAGTTTTTTGTTTATTTAACAAAATGTCAAACCCAAGGGCGAGACGTTAAAAGTCTTTAGATTGGAAAATCGAGCCCGGGGTGAACCTCGTCCTACTCTGGAACATTTATTCAGGGTGTCTATAATTCAATGTAAATCAATGATGCACTTCAATTGTTCAATTAAATATCTTCTCTCTTGTACCATTTTCAAAATTGAAAAACTAACTTCACAGTTTTTCCTCAGGTGGCGCTGTGATCTGTAGCCTTTTGTCACACATAGCAACTTTACTAAACTTGGGCACGCGTGTTTTCTTTTATTTATTAAGTCATAAAAGTTAAGAATTATATTAAATAAAAAGTATTGCATGAGATTTCCTAATAAAAAGAATAAATTTTCGAATTTTTTTTCCAGCTAGGTGCTACTCCATTATCTGACAATGAAGTTGGGGATAAATACATATATGAAATTCTTGTGTACACAGGCAATCAAAGAAATTCGGGGACAAAATCTAATGTCAGTAGTGAATTCGTAAGAAAAACAATAAACAGTCTGTGTCTATGATATTTAAATCTAATAAAAATTTATTTTAGGTATTCTTCTTGGTGTCTGGAGATGATGATGAAACATCAGTTCGGCATCTCTCTGATGATAAAAGACCTGTTCTTCAAAAAGGATCCATTGACGTTTTTGTAATGGCGACACCAAGGTAATTAAAAATTCACGAACGTTTTAAATGTATTATTTGCATTACATAAAATGCTTAAGCGTGTTTGTGGATGTGGTCACAAAACCAATGAAATTTCTTTCCTCATGTTGGCAACGAAAAGCTATACAAACTGAGTTATACGCTGAGCAGAAATGAAAGGTTTAGGCGAACAGATCATAGAAACAAACTGTGCTAGATTTTTGTTTTGATTATGCTTATTAGCTTACTCAAGACCTTTGAACGGATTTTTCCTATTTGGATCAGTTCTGAATTAGCATGACCATTTAAAAAATAATGTAAGACAAATGTCGAGAACGGGATTGCTAAATTGTCATGGTTTAAACTAGTGTTGCCAATAAAAAATATAGAATATAACATTAGTCTTATACTAACTTGAAACATACCACTGTTTGAAACAAACTTTATAAAAATCAGTTGTTGCGTTGGTAATTGATAATAAAGAGATTTTGCAGGGAGTTTATCTTATATTAACCGTAATGTTAACCATATTTTCTACCCCTCAGTGACAGTTTTGCGCATGCCTATGAAGCTCAAATAGCGTTTACGTTAACGTTCGGGGGAACATAACTATTTGCAAAAGCCATCTAATTATTCTTTAGAAACCCATCATGGAGTGAGTTTTAAGATTTGCTTTATATGGAACTGATTTAACTTCCTTTATCGTCAAAACTTTAATGAAAATGCTAGAGTTATGTTAAGAGTTAAAAAAACGGAATCATATAAAGGACTCGACAGTAATAAAAGAAATGAAGGGAAATAAATAAATTTTGAAGGAAAAAAAGCCTGTGGGATTCTAAGACTATACTGTGGCAATGTTTAAATTACTTCTTATTTATGTATTTGATAATACAGTCTAGGCTCTTTAGTACGACACTTTATTATAGCGACCCTTTCATTATAAAGACTTCTGCATAAAGTCCCGTTTGTTATTCCATTAACGCAATGTTGTTTTAATGTCCATTAGAACGCCTACACTAAATTGTTCATTCCAATATAGCGACCGATATGTATCATTTGAGTTATAAAAAGTTTCGAAAATATTAGCTGAACCATATTATTTGCCTTAATTACCTTGATGTATGTTATTTATCGAAAATAGTCTCGAGCCAGTATATTATTTTTTTAATATATCTTCACGCATGAGGTATTGTTTTTAAGTATATCATACAAAAAAAAAGTTCCGTTATCTCTATTTTTCTGTTTGTTAATAATTCATATTAAAGTTCAGCATTGCTTTTTTAATGATCAAGTATTTTTTGAAACATGATATAGTTTACCGGTAGTTTTGTATACTCACCAAATAAGATTATAACGTCCGTTTTTCAGTAGAGCACCGAAATCAAGCATCACTGGTAGTGGTCAGTAAGTGGGTGGTTGACCACTTTAATCAGATTAAGTGAATGAGGGTGCACGGTATAGGTCCTCGTTAAACTGTTCTACCTTAAAGTGCTCGACTTCGCACACAGGTCGTGGGGCTACTAAAGTGGAGAAGCCATCCACTCTGCAAAGGATCAAAATTGTGATAGCATGTCTTCGGATCATTCTCAGGGATGTTCCCCAGATCGTCGCCAATAGCCCATTGTGAAGTCCTAGAGCGCCGTAAATAAAGTACTTACCTATCCTTTAACAGTGGTCTTTCCAACTTGTGATTTCTGACTCAACGTTCTACTTACTCGAACCTCGTTGCTTCAAATTTATAGTCTGGTATGCGGCCTCATCGGACTTCACAAAATAAAATTTCAATATAATAGAAAATTGACGAGTTTAACTTAAAACCTGAGGACACTCCATCTTGCATTGAACGAAGGCTTGTTCAGGAGAGAAAAATGAGTTTTACAAAAATGAATTACCTAGTTTTTCGGGTCCTGTACTGGACTGATCGTAAAGACACGGTTCTCAGTAGAACACCGAAGTCAAGCATCACTAGTTGCGGTCAGTAAGTGGCGTGACCATTTTGATCAGCTTACGTGGTATCGGTCCTCATTAAACTGTAATACCGTATAGTGCTCGTCGGGCTACCGAAGCAGAGGAGCCATCCCCTCTGCAGAGGATCAAAATTGTGATGGCATATCTTCGGATCATCCTCCGGAATGTCCTCCAGACCGCCGCCAATAACCCATTGTACACTTCTAGTGCGCCGTAAATAAAATACCTACCTATCTTTACCCCATCGTTTTATGGTGGGTCGACTGTATTTGAATTTAAAGATGAAGAGATATTGAAGGAAATATGAGATTGCTCTTTTTAAGAATGCTTATTTTTTTTGCAGATCCCTGGGACAGTTAAACTATCTGAGAATATGGCATGATAACACTGGGACAGGAAAATGGTCATCGTGGTTCTGTCGATACATTATATTCAGAGATGTCCAGACTGGACTAAAGTATGAATTCATAATTAACAAATGGCTTGCTGTTGAGTACGATGATGGAATGGTAATCTTAATCGTTTTTAAATTCTTTGCCTCGTATATCAAAGTAATATTCAGAGCGCAAAGTAAAAGATGGAACACCCTGAATAGAAATTGCTCCTAATGGTCGGATTTTCACGCATCAGGACTCAATCGTTGCAGTGCCTGACCTCAAATATGCATAGTTGATTTCTGTATACGAGACTTTAAGTTATGAAATCAGACAAAAAAAATGTACTTTCTCTGAATAAACATACTTTTTTCCGATGAATTCCGATTTTTGACCCTCAAATTATGAGGGGTGAAGCCGCTATCTGAGAAATATTTCATTCATCTTTTCAAGGTATAGCTCGTTCACCAGGAGTTGGCACTTGTCTCCGCCTTCATCACGTGGTATGCGACGATGCTATTTCGCAGTTTTTGGGAGAAGGCTGCGAGCAATTCTGAATAAGTGTGCTATTTGGCGATCGTATGGCAAAAATATTTATTTCGTAAACTTCATCTACATTTTTTTAACATTAAATATTTCTCATTTTCGATGATATTTCGTTCCATTTTTATGATATTTCTCTCTTTTGTGTGAATAGTTTGTCATTTTTGAGACATTTTGCTCGGAAAATAGCAGTTTTTAAATTTAAAATATATTTATTTAGCTAGAGAAGCGAAAGGTATAATAGCAGATGATAAAGCGAAGTAAGTGACTGAAAAAGAGGTCGCCGTTTGTGTTTGTCGCGCATGAAGGGTTGTCTCAGTTTCAAGCTCGGAGATACTTCTCTTCTTACTTGCGCGCTGAAATGAACTCTGCGTCCGAGGAGGTGGAGCCAGGTGCCAACTACTGGTGAACGAACTATACCAATAGTTTGTTCAGGAGAACGACCAAAAGTTTGAACTTCTCAATCATAATTTTACTTTTTGTCTATTTCACCATACCTCGAAAAAATTTTAAACAAATCGAAAAACCTTTGCTCACATGTATAAAAATTCTTTTATCCGAGGATAATTTCATGCAAAGAATAGCATTTAATTATTATTATTAATATTATTTTTCTTACATTTTATAAGATAAAAGGGAAAAGTTTGAATTATAAGGTATACAATTTTTTAACTTCATTTTAAAAAATGCAATTTCACTTGATAAGCTACAATATTAGAATACAGGTATTCAAAAAATCAAGTTTTTAATATACGTTCTATTTGACCGTTTGTACTGAAATTTTGTATTTTGACAACCATTTGAATTTACATTCATTAAAATGACGTAAGTTTTATGAATTGAAAACGAAAAATATTAAGAAAAGGAAAAATATCGTAGCACATTCCTGTACAACTGAAAAGAGGAGGAGAGGAAAGGGAGAATGGCCAAAGGCATGGAATCGGTCTTCTCCCCAGATGGCGTATTCGAGCGTTGCAATCGCCTATATTTCTTAAGCGAATAAAAAAAAATTTGCTCACAATTAAAAAACTTATTTAATCAAATCCTCTAAAAGATATATGTAAATTACTATTTGTTATCGTTTAATATATAATTTATAATGGTCTGAAAAGTTTTGAGTTGAAAGGTGCACAAATAGTTGCAACATTTTTATCTATGCAATTTTGAATAACGAAATAAAAACTTTGAAGTAAATCGGTCGAATAGCTCTTGAGCAGCGAACATGTAAAAATATGACATTTTGAAACTTTTTAACTTGTAACGCTTGGTGTAATTGCTTTATAATTTTTTGCTTTTCTCAGATTGATCGTTTGATACCAGTTTCTGGCAAAGAACAAGTGACGGAGTTTTCCAGTCTATTTTCAACAGCGTCTCAGCGAAACTTGGCCGATAATCACCTGTGGTTATCAATATTTCTGAGGCCGACCCGCAGTCGATTCACGAGGGTGCAGCGAGTGTGTTGTTGCACTGCTGTATTATGCTTGTCCATGCTGACGAATGCCATGTACTATGAGAGGACCTCTGCCAAACCTGATCAAGGTGGATTCAAATTCGGTCCGTTATCCTTGAGTCCCGAACAGGTAATATTCCTACGGGTGGTGTTTCCCACACTAGCCCTGCAAACTCTTGACTGCCTATAAATCCGGGTTACTGCTTTTGGTGTGTTTTGAAGCCTTTTCGTGGCTCATAACGCGATCGTTGTGTTTTAAGATTAGTATTTCCTATGTACGTGCATTAAATTATTCCTACGGATGGTGTTTTCCACACTAGAGAGCGCTGCAAACTCATGACAGCTTATACTTCCGGGTTACTGTCTTTGGTGTGTTTTGAAGCCTTTTCGTGGCTCATAACGTGATCATTGTGTTTTAAGATTTTCTTGAGTTGTATTTCCTATGTACGTGTACTAAATTAATCCTTGAGTCCCGAACAGGTAATATTCCTACGGATGGTGTTTCCCACACTAGAGAGGGCTGCAATCTCTTGACTGCCTATACTTCCGGGTTATTTCTTTTGGTGTGTTTTGAAGCCTTTTCGTAGCTCACAACGTGATCACTGGGTTTTGAAACTATCTTGAGTAGTATTTCTTGTATAAGTGCATTTGTTACCTGATTTATTATTTGCTTTTAAAAGAAGAGTCGTCATTTCAAGACGTAAGAATTGTCATTTGAAAAAAGAATCGTTATAAAACACTTCTTACCTTGTTAACGATATACCAGCTTCGAAATTTAAATCTCAATGTGATAATTTGTAAAATGAACTGCTCGAACAATATGATAGCACTAACGTATGATGGTGCAGGGCTTGTACCAAGAACAAGAGGCTAAATCGGGACGACCAAAAAACGAGTTCTTTCTATATCTAGCAACCGTGTCACCATTTTTAACAATACATCTCTAAATAACTAAAACAAATTTTCACTTTAAACTCACCAGAATTACTTAATATCTTATGAAATACAGCAGATTTGAGCTCAGGAATTATATAATTTACCTGTTAAAAATTACCTAAACAAAATTACCTGTTTGAAAATATCGCCTCACAGAATGAGCTATTTTAAGCAGCTGTATACTTTCTAAACGGAAGTAGAGCAGGTCAAGAGCTCGAGATTGTTGTTGTTTACATCTATATTGGAAACACCATCCATACAGTCGAACCTCATAACTTAATTTGAAATATCTCTTTACATGGAAAACTTGTTTCATCCCGTGAATCAACAATCAATTATTGCATTTTACATGTTTAACAGGAAAATGTCAAGATGATTATCGCATAACATGAAAAGAGACTGGACACAAGATAAGAAGCTTGATGTGAATAAAGTGTCAATCATTTATTTTGAGCGATGTTATTTACATTTTCCGCCATTGTTAGAAGTTGCAAATGGGCAAATGAATGAAATAGTTGAAACAAAGTATTCAATTAAAATATCTAAATGAAGTATTTATTTTCATTTACAGAGTGTATCACTACTTGTGTGAAACTTGAAAAACATACAAAGACGTTTAAAAAAAAAAAGGCAGAGTCCGTTTAACGGAGAACTGACCGATTTCAAAATTTAAAATCTCGGAAGCAAAGGATGATGGACGAATGAAATAAACGGTGTTGCGAAAGCAGTAGAAACTCTATGCAGAAATATTGGGGTTTAATTTCAAAGTCTGCTGACAGATGGAGGTACAAGTCATCGATGACCAGAGCGATCAGTTCTTGCGTTAAAATGCGAAAGTAGTTAACCGTACAGGATTAAGTCGTGTATTGAATAATGTTAGTTTCTGAAATTGATAGATTATATCAATAAGGCCGTGGTGGCTCGGGGAATAGAGCGCTCGCCTCCCAATAAGGTGAACTGGTTTCGAATCCCAGCGAATTCCGCACCCGACTACAATGCTGATGAAAATTATCGTCAGTGGTTGACGGATCATGGGTTAGAGTCCCCTTGCCATCGGGTTAACCGTAGGTTGCTTCCATGGTTTTCCTCTCCATGTAATGCAAATGCCGGTTAGTTCCATCAAAAAGTCCTACACGAAGTCAGATTTCTCTTTATACTTGTTCCAGGAGTTCCTAGATTGGATTTAAAATAACAAGGCTACGGAGTTGGTGGCCGGAAGCACAAAATTGGGTCAGTTGTACGACCTTGGTTATAAAAAGTAATATCATTAATATCGCAGATTAGATTACAATTCTAAGCATTTGTATTATTTAAGAACTCTGTACAGCCTACAGTGCCATCCCTTGGCAACTTTTATAACTAATTTCAAAATTTCCGCTAAACATTTTCACAGTTTTCATAATAGACATAGCATTTGTTTAATTCCCCTATCATCCTTTGTTTCCGAGATTTTTAATTTTGAAACCAGTCAGTCCTTTGCTGAACACACTGTAGTTATTGTAGGGTCCAAAATTCCTGCGTAAATAGGAAAGGTCTCTGGCTATTAGGTTTTTTAAATTTATTAGCCGGTAAAATAGTCAGATTTATCCAGTCGGAACTTCATGAACGTTCTTGCACGATTTTTTCATCTCTGTTTCGCCTTGTCTAACATAGTAGGTAGCCGCATAGCAACGAGTCACGTAAAGGTTTCTTTACACTTGCAATTTTCACTTAGAATATTAATACCATAAATTCAAAGAAATGCTGCCAACGTGTGACAACAAGATGATGACTTCCTGTACCCGGACTAACTTATACATTTTATAGCTGTTACTCTAAAATATTACTGCATGCATAAAACTTAATGTTTTTTTTATTTTGTTCTGAACACACGAGTTTTACAGAAAGTTATATGGTAGTGTAAAATGTGCAGAAAATTTTAAATGATTTTTTTCTTTTGGTTAATGTAGCACACATCTTGCGTTTATTTTTACCTGCCATGTTTATCCAAATAGGAAAAATATTCATTTGAGCGAAATATTTTTATTGTAGTGAACTGAACGTAAAAACACTCTTCCCGCTAAAACACCGAAGTCAAGCAGCACTGGCTGTGGTCAGTGAGCGAGTGGGTGACCACCTTGATCTGCTTTTTTTTCGTGCAGATCGTCGGGATACTTGAGTAAGCCATCCCTACCACAATGGATCAAAATTGTGATGACAGGTCTTTGGATCATTCTCAGGGATATTTCCCAGACCGTCGCCATTAGCCCATTGTACAGCTCTAGGGCGACTTAAATAGAACTACTACAACTACCACTTGTGCCGGCCTAGCTGTTATATTTATCAGAATTCCTGACTACCAATGGTTACGAGTTCGAATTCCACTTAGCGCATGGATGTTTCTCACTGTGTTGTACTCTGTTGTATAATGTGTGAATGTAACTGACCCTATGAACAGTTATCTGTGGCAGTCAGTGTGGAGTGGGTAATGTTGCTTGCCTCCGTGACTCAGGTTCACAGGTGCCCACCGAGTAGCGTTAAATCACGTCGTAACTCCCAGCATCTTTCAGGGCAAATGAACAAAAATTCAGTGCATGCCGTTAAAAAAAACTGCTATTACTTGTATTTCTACCCCTTTTTTAAAATATCTTTACAATGCAAGGAAGTACTTGAAAATCGAAACAGCTAAGAATTTTAAATTTTTTTAGAAGTATGCACCCGCACTACAGGATAATATCCGTCAGATATTTCTGCTGTAATTTAGATTAAGGAAATCATAAGATAAAGAAATCTTATAACGGAAAAATACTTAAATTAAATCATAAGTGAGAGTTTTTATTTCGAATCTGCTGTAAAACTTGCTTTGAAAAGTTGAGCGTGTAAAGCTAAGCATAGATGGCGCTAGGAGTTAAAATTCGTGGCAAGACATCCGGGTTACTACTTCCGATTAATTGTTACGCCTAAACTTGAAAAAGGGTGCCATCAAATATAATTATACTTTTAGTATTTACAATATAACGCGTTCTTTCAATCTGAATTTCTGTGAAACAAACAACATAAGAATTTGGAAGACTCCGAAAGCATGTCCTGCAAGATGCAATCCAAAAATTAACTAACGATGATATTTTTCACAAATATAGCCAAATAAGAGGTAACACTCAAATGATAAACCTTACACTTTATTTATGTTGTGATATTAATTTTCTTCAAGTGGTTTTAAGGCCTGTTTAGACGATCCAATTTCTTGGACAGAGATTGATTGATATTGATGGAAACTTCTTTTGCTTTGATCGTGTAAACAATCATCCAAGTACTTGGTCCAACTTCTTGGACGATAGTAGAGCATGTTCTACTTTCCATCTAAGTTTTTTCTCCCTTAACCAATCAGCGTCTTAGGTTTTGTGGCGTTAACAAGCAGGCAGCAAATTATGTCATTTTGTTGTCTGTTTTCATATATTTTAGTCCAAACAAATTGATCTGTTGCGGTTTATTTGTGTTATTATTTTATTTGAATTTATTTAGTAATTTTAAACTTATGTAAATATTATTTTATAATGTTGAATATGAACAATGCGCATGCGCAAGTTTTTCTTTCNGTCTTCATTTTCTTTATTCCTTCACAGATCGCAGTAGAATGTTAAAATGTTATCTTCATTTTTTTTATTCCTTCACAGATCGCAGTAGGAGTTCTCAGCAATCTAATGATATTTCCTCCAACATTCCTAATGATATTCTTTTTCCGGAAATCTAGACCCAAGAATTTGCGACCATCTCGAATAGAAGAGGCAGTAAAACAGCAAAGTAGGCGAAATTTAAATGTAAAATGTTCCATCTCCAATTTTTGTTAGTTTTGAAATGTTTTTTATTTTGAAAATGTGTAGAGAATAGCAAAATAACTTATGCACAATGTGCGAAATAAAAAGGCGAACACGCTGAATAACTTCTTATCTAACGATCGGATTTTCACGTAGTTAGACTCAATCTTAATGGTTAAAAGAGCCTCCACTTAAATATACAAATGAGCACAGATGATATTTTAAGTTACGAATTCAGACACAAAAGCGTACTTTTAATAAATATAATTTTTTTTTGGCGGATTTGGATTCCTGATCCTCAAAATATGGGTGGTAGCCGTGACCTGAAAAATATGACTCCCTTAGGTTAGGGGAGCGATTGAATAAGTTTCGATCTATTAATAATAATATGACGTTTTGCTTAGCTCACCATAAATCGAGAACTTTTTAAACAAATAGAAATCGTTTACTCAAATCGTTTATTTATATTTTGCTATTTTTTTATTATTTTATTTAATAATAGTCAAACAAAACATGAATGGTAAGGAATACAAACTTTTATACCATTTTAAAGTATGTAATTTTAAACGACAAAATTTAAAAAAAAACTCGAACAAAACCAGCAGAATATTTTCAGGTTACGAAATTTTAAAATGCCACATATTTAAAAAATTTGATTTCTCAAAAACTATTCGACTGATTTTGTTGAAATGTTGCATTTTGCCACTTAAAGTTACATTCTATAAAATGATGTAACAATTTGTAGAGTTACATTCAATAAAATGATGTAACAATTTATAAAGTTACATTCTATAAAATTATGCAACAGCATTCAAACATTTTTCAACTATTATTATTTAAAATAATATATTAGTAAAAATTATTTTTTTTACAAGGAATTACTATGTTTGTATGAACAAATTTTATAATTGTGTGCAAAAAGCTTTGTATGTGGTTAAAATTTTCTCGAGGTATGGCGAAATACGAAAAATTAAATCACTAGTTTCAGCTGCTTTCCTTTCCAAATTAGAGGAACCAAATTTTCTAGATAGCGGCTATCTTCCCCTACATCCCTACACGCATTTTAAGGAATAAAAGTTCAATTTCAACGGAAAGTTTATTCGGAAAAATTACGTTTTTGTTTCTAATTACTTAAAAAAAAACTATCGTCTGCGCTGGCTAGTTACGACATTTAAGGTAAGGTAAGGTATAAGATTGATTCCTAGTATGTGAAAAGCTATCATTAGATCAAAAGTTATTCAGGGTAGGGTTTTTTTTTCCATTATAATTTTTATTATTTATGTGCATGCACAATATTCAAAACATTTGGAATTCTGAAAAAAATCTGATATAAATGAGACTTTAAATAATGCCCGAGGTTATTATTTAACCCATCAAAGAGTTATTTGTAGGTTTAAACCAGCGGTTGCCAAATGGTGGCACGCGGACCACTGGTGGTTCTTGGAAGAATTATAAACCAACAAGGATCTTCGCTTTGATAATATCAGTCAAATTTCCACATTCCCCACACACGTAAAGTTGTGGATTCAAACTGATTGAAAATTAACGTTTTAATTGCTAACTTACTACATTTGTCGATCAGCTTTCTCACTTTTCAAAAATGTGCAACATATGAACTTGTCAATATGAACGAACCACTCAAACCACCATAAGTACGAAATTGGAACATTACAGCCTAGTAGGCAATATAGTATTAAAATCATTTCAATCATTTCCACCTCTGCTCGAAAAAGGCAAGCTCCATCATCTATAATTGTTATGGCAGTTTTTCATTCAAAATTTTGGAGAAGGATCAAACATGAATCTAAATAATTACTCTGTAACTAAGTTTTTATTTCTATAAAAAATACATAATTATTATATATAAATACTCAACGTATAACTAACTATTCAGAACTACTTATATTATTTCTTAAGATAGCCTAGCAAATTGAATAGTAAATAAATTGATGCCTGATGATGATATATGGTGGTCCTAAAATATATGTCAAAAATGTAAAGGTATGTAGAGGGGACCTAAATAAGCATGTTTCGTATAGGATTGTGTGTGAGGTAATGCCGCCTTGAGCCGGTAGGGAATCGAATTTTCTTTTGTCTTTACTTGTCTTTTCAGTTTCCTTTGATTCATACTGCTTTACAAGCTAGTGCTTTAATGTGCCATTACCGCACACACATTCCTATCCGAAATATGCTTATTTATGTCCCCTCTACCTACCTTTACATTTTTGACATATATTTTAGGACCACCCTGTATAAACAAAAAGTTTGATGATTGAAGAATTTATNTATATATATTTATTAGTAGTAGTATTTGAGTTTTCTTTTCATTTGAAAATTTCATCTTTTCATTTGCGTCACGTCATTTGAAAATATACAGCACTTTCATTAGAAACTTAATGGGATACCTGCAAGTGACGTAGTGTGGGTATCTCGATCGTGATTGGTTGTTGAAATATGATATTTGTTTATGTTAGCAGCTGTTCATATTCTATTTCGAGTTAGTCAAGCAGCAATCCTCTTAAGTGGCACATTCCAAATTGCTTCACAAAGAATCTTTCACAAGGATTTAAATTCTTCCACTATAAATTTACACCGAGCATAAAGACAGGCACGAGGCCATGTGGAAAATGAACAAACTAATTATGCATCGAAGTTGCCAGGTATGCAAAACAAAAATATATCACGGTTACTATAAAATACATAAACAAATAATAAATCTAAGTTAAGTAAAATAATTGTATTTCAACTAATTCGATGTGCTCTGTATTTAATTCACTTATAGTTAATTAACATTCTAACTCATGTAGGGAAACTTAGCTGAACTTTAATACGCCATTTTGCTGATAAAGATTAGCTGGCTCTGACTTAATGAGTCACATGGGTGGGTATCGGTTGTCTTCTTACCAGAGTACCCAACTAGTACAAATTTTAAAAATTGCTGAAACACATAATTTTTGATTTGGAGTAGAGATTTTAAAAGCACTCTATTCAGTTAAAGAACGTTTCTTAGGCTTAAGAATATTTTCATTTTTTCGATGGTCCGTGAGAATCGAAAGACAGCTTCTTTAAACGATTGTTAAATGACCAATTCATAATTCTGAATCGAGTAAACTTATTTTTAAAATTCCTTCAGGGAGTGAGTGGAAAAAGAAGCCATCAGCGAATAAAGAAAGGAAGAACAAGAAAAGCGATGCTGAAGCCCAAACATGCCATCGTAAGAAAAGATTCTCCTTGCCTTGGTGGTGCGTGTATTTTGGTTGGTTCATGGTGGCGATATCCATTGGTGCCTCACTTTTCTTCATGTGGGCGTATGGAATTGAATTTGGTGATGAGAAGACATCTAAATGGCTGACATCTTTGGTTGTTTCTTTTTTCTCTTCGCTTCTTGTCACACAACCCATTAAGGTAATTTTAAAACCGGAGTTCTTATGGTCCTTGGATAAAACTTAAGAAATGATGACTTTACTGCACTACTTTTTTTGTGTGGGACTACTTCATTAATATTAATTTAACTCTTTCATAGCGTAGGACGAGATAACTCGTCTTTTTGAAATATTCAATGTGTGCTAGAGACGACTTAACTCGTCCTTTACATAAAGTTTTTCAATATAGCAGCGTTTCCGGCGACATAGTTGCAAACATTAAGTATAGATTGTAATTTTTATTTTATTATCTTTATGCCGGTAAACACAAAGTGAGAATTCTTATTGATTGCAATTGGCTATGTTATTACTTTTTAAAGAGAAATAAGCAAGTTTTGAAGAAATTCCGTTTCAATTTTAGCCCGGAAGGTTAGACAAAGGCTCGGTAAAAGTGTGAAAGTAACTCTAGTTACTCAGCAGTAGCCTTGGTGGGCTTTCACTGATTCATCAGAATTGGCAAGATTCTTAGAGATAAGATAATAACATGTCTAGGCATATAGTCTAATATATTGACGGCACAAATATTAATGTAGAGCCGTGGTGGCTCAGGGGATAGAGCGTTCGCCTTTCAATGAGGTGAACCAGCTTCGAATCACAACGATGGCTGGTCAATGCAAATTCCGCACTCGGCTCTCACCGATCACATAAAATATTCTCATTAGTAGACGGATTATGGGTTAGAGTTCTCTTGCCGCCAGGCTAACCTTGGGAGGTTTTCGTGGTTTTCCTCTCCGTGTAACGCAAATACGAGTTAGTTCCATCAAGAAGTCCTCCACGAAGGCAAGTTTCTTCTAATACTTGATCCAAGAGTTTCCTTGTCTTCTGAATTGGGTTCAAAATTACAAGGCTACACAGTTGAACATTAGTAGTCGCAAACCCAAAATTGGATCGGCTGTCCAACGACAGTTATGAAATAAAATATTAATATAGAAAAAATAATGGTAATATAGATGCATGACAGGTGGTTCCTCCTCTCGTATCATCTTGTTTGTTGCTTCCCTGTAGCAGAAGTCTGATATAGGTACATATGAATGGTTGTAAAATAACTTAAAGTTATTATCAGTAATAATTTTAATTTTTGAAACATTTTTAAATTAAAATGGCAGTTAAAAAATAGACTTTTAAAAATAAACGGAAGGAATATAAATTGAAAAGGCGGGACATTATACTAGCGTGTAGGGCTAGAATAAAACAATTAAAGTCCCGCAGTGGACTGATCGTTAAGACACGATTCCCAGTAGAGCACCGAAGTCAAGCATCACTGGCTGTGGTCAGTGTGCTGCTGGGTGACCACTTGGATCAACCTACGATGGACCCGAGGGTGCGCGGTGTCGGTCCTCGTTAAATCGTTCTACCGTGAAGAGCTTGACTTCGCTCTCAGTACGTTGGGCTACCAAAGCGGAGGAAACATCCCCTCTGCAGAGGATTAAAATTGGAATTCCCAGACAGTCGCCGATAGCCCATTGTGCAGATCTAGTGCGACGTAAACAAACAACAATTAAAGTTGCCTCCAAACTTAAAAACAGTTTAAGGATGCTGATTCTCTAATGGGAGCAATTAGTACGATACCAACATGGATTCGCAGATATACCATTGGTAATAGTTTTAGTACTTCCTGCATAAAAATAATTTTTATAAAACTCAGATTTTTAAGCTACGCAAAAATGTCCATTTTAGTTTTTTATTTACAAAAAAAGGGGGAAAATAGTCTAAATATGGAAAATCGTTAAGTGTACCAAAGTACAAGGATTCTTTTGTGAAAAACAGTAAAGTATAATGTAGTGATGAGGGGTAGTAAAGAGATGAGAGCACTTATATAGTTCTCCTACATCAAATGCTTTTATGCCATCAAATCAGGGGTCTATAACACTGAAAGTAGATAAATATCGTACTTGACGCGCTATGAAGACTTTGTCGATCATTTTGTTCTTTACTATGTTTCATAGCATATAACATAACTAGTGGGCTGCGTCCCCTGCTTGCTAACGCTCGCCAACTCCCGAAAATTGCTAAGCAATCTTATATGGTTTGCTTCGCAAACTAAGCTCGCTTCGCTCGCTACTAACTTAGGTGCATTGCAAATGCACAAAATTCTAAGAATTCAAAACAATCATTCAAACCTATATAACAACTTCTTTTCTTTTTAAATTACACCTTTTTAGTAAATACTAAGTCATTAAAATAAATTTGATTTCAAATAAATGACAGGTAATTTGTTAAACCTATTAGAAATGTGCTATAGTATAACTTCTTAAAGCGTAACAGCACGACTGAAACTGATTTTTCAATGAATAACTTATAACAATAATAAAACAAATAAATTCGTGATATAAATCAAAAATCGTCGTTTTTTATTTCCCTTAGCTGAGAACTCAAAAAATATATAAATTTGCGAAAAAAAGCGCTTTCGACAAAATACTAAAANTATGCGATCAAATCAAGGGTCTTTAACACTGAAAGTAGATAAAAATCGTACTTGACGCGCTATGTCGATCATTTTGTTCTTTACTATGTTTCATAGCATATAACATAATTTTTAAATTTGAAATTTTTATTCAATTCATTTTTAGATAAATAATATTTATTCTATATGTTAACTTATACAAAAATTTGGAAAATTCACAAAAATTTTAGGAAATTTATTTAAATGTTTAATAATTAAGAGCATAAAGGACACCTTTCTTTTGTAAGGAAATTAAGGACAACTCTGAGACCTGATGGTGACAATGAGACAAAGAAACGTGACATCTGGTCACGTTAGTTATTATTCTTTTCAATGTCACAATGAATTTTAATTGAAACGCGCAATTTTTGAAAATACTTTAAGAGTGTCTGTGCATTTTCTATGAACAAAAAAGTCATTTTTTGTTGAATGACATTTTTTATAAATATCTCATTGAATCCTAAACTATTCTTTGTCTAAAACCTACCTTAGATAATTCTGATGACAATAGTGATGTCTTGTATATGTCGCTCTGCTAATTACGAAGATGATGATGCTGATGATGATGAGGAAGACCCGTATCTAAAAAGCGATGAAGAATACTTGCACGAAGGTATATTGCTTGTTATTTAACGATGAACTTGCCCTTAGCGCATATTATAAATTCCCCCCAGAACGAGATATCTCATCTTCAGAGAGAAATTAAATATTCCGTAATGTCCGCAATCAATAGTGATGTCTTGATGCCTATTGAAATGTTGATGCCTATTTTAAAAATCCTTGCACAAAATGAAGACGTAAAAATGACAAGTATTTATGTTGTAAAATGTAAAAGTACACAGATTAGGAATAACAAATTAATACTTCAGCGAGAACAAAAACGTAATTGAAATCTAATGAATTACTAGAGAAATCAGTATCAATTTAACTGCCAGTTAAAACTTGCAGGATCCATTTCTTGCTTCAATCAGAGTTCCTCATTAACAATTCGGTAAATTTCAGTAGGGTTTTTTTTTCCTTGATTAACTATTATATTGCTAATACGCGTATTTTCTACTTCCCTTTAGGTGAGAACTCAAAAAATATATGTAAAAGGTGCTCATTGCGGCACACTCTACACATAAACACTTGTTACATAAATACAATAACACTATTAAATGAACCCCTTTAGGACCGTTATAATATATACGTGTTCATGTTTTTCTCTCTTTACCGTCTACGGTATGAAATGTATGAAGTATATATGAAAAGATCCAACAATCCAAGATCTTACAGTTTGGTACTCTCTCGCATTACAAGTCTTATTAGTATTTATACTTTCGAAGCATGTGGGTCCGCTTCTTTTTCCTTTCGTTCTGAAAGGGTTAAAAACGTTATATGCAGTGTCTCTTAAATATGCAGTTTGTTCTGTCGCAAATTTTCTCATTTCAGATGAATCGATTAATCACTTAATGATGTTAAACACACCGAGCAACGGCACCATGACTTTTATTAAACCTTTCAGGACCATGATCACGTATTTGTTACCATAAAATTCTCCCTCCGTGGTCCGTCCCGCAGTGGACTGCTCGTTAAGACACGGTTCCCAGCAGATCACCGAAGTCAAGCATCACTGGCTACGGTCAGTGTGCGGGTGGGTGACCACTTGGATCAGCCTGCGTAGGGACCGAGGGTGTGCGGTATGGGTCCTCGTTAAACTGTTCTATCGTAAAGTGCTCGACTTCGCGTGCAGGTCGTCGGGCTACCGAAGCGGGATTGCCATCCCCTCTGCAGAGGATCAAAATTGTGATGGCATGTCTTCGGATCATCCTCAGGGATGTTTCCCAGACCGACGCCAATAGCCCATTGTACAGCTCTAGTGTGACGTAAATGAACAACAACAACAACAACCCTTCGTGGTCCACGACGGTATCATATACGAGACGAGCCTCTCAGACTGCAGTGGCCAATGATCACACGAACACGTGATCTTATTACGTGTGATCGCGTGAACTCTTTACAACACCAAAACTTCCATTAACTCCTTCTGATCCAAGATAGATAACATATTCGTGATCGAACAATTCTCCCTCTGTAATACATGGTATCATGGAGCAGACAAACCTTTCAAACTCCAGCGGCCCATGATCACACGGACGTGATCTTAATTTGTAGCCGAGCATGCACTTCTTTCTCCTTTTCCCGAACAGGTTGAAATACTTTATAAAATGTATCATAAATTTAAGAAGATTAACGAAATGTTGTTTTCAAAATTTAACGAGGAATATGAATTACGTAATTTATTTATTTTTGAATAATCAAATGATAAGGTTTTCTTCGGTCTGCATCTATAATTGCAGGTCAAAAAAAGAAGCGACTGACCTACCAACCCATGGATACTACTGCTCTAGAGGAAGCTAGGAAGGAACGAGAAAAAGAAGTTAAAATGCATAGTATGATACGGGAGATTTTAACTTACTTTTTCTTCCTGTGGGTCATCACTATTCTCAGCTATGGAAATAGAGATCCCAGTAATTTCTATCTCAGAGAGGCTTTAATTAATGGATTCATCAAGCCTGGTGATATTTATACAGATTTCAACTTTGTAAGTGAGAGAAAGTTATTGTTTATAGTTACCTGTTTGTTTTAATTTGACTATAATTTGCCCCGCTCTGAAAAGAAATTTTTTATCTCTTGGTAGCAAAAATTTTTATTTTAAGATTGTTTTTCGAAAACTCTGTCGTCGTATGAAATGATGCTTTTTTGCGAATAATATGCTGTTTTTATAACTGCTGTGTTTTATACAGTTACTCATGACTATTAGATCTGATTTATAGCCGATCTATAAGTTCACGCTCTCTATACTTATTCTGAAAATGGTGCAAAACGTCAGTATGATGAAAAGCCACAGTTTTGTGAAAATTAAAAACGCTTGTTCTAATTTTTATATTTAAAAACTTACTCCAATGCTGAATTACCTAGCCTCATAAAAATTTGCAAAATATGAGAATAAGGCAGTGACTTTAATACTTTTAATCTAGGTTTTAAAAAAAAAATCCCAAAATGGCGATTTTTAAAATTTTTTTAAATATTTAAGTCATTTGTCCGTTTTAAAGCCCAAATAATTCTTTACAGCAAAATGATACATATAATTTAAAATAGTTTTACTAGTTTAAATTATATAGTTTTTGCTTCGAGTGTAAGGCCTTCAAAACTGAACCTTTTTTTTTCCTTGGCGTCAGATCTTCGAAAAACCAGGTTAATATTTTGATTCATCAATTCATTTTGAGGTTACAACGCCTCATCTCATTTAAGGTTGTTCTAAGCACTTTCATCAAAGAACATTTTAAAAACGGTACACTTTGATAGTTTTCGGAGCAACGCTTTAATTAATGTCTACTATATTGAGAAAAAGAATTGCTTGAACTTCAAAACAAGAACCTATTTGCTTAAAAAAATTCCACTTCGGAGAAATTTTTTTCGCTTAGATAAAAAATATTAAAATCAATGAATAACTCTGAGGAACAAATTTTCTGTTGCATTTATACAAATACTTGATTTTGCCCAATCCGGATGTGAGGATTACAAATCTGAAATTAGTTTTACTCCTTACTTTTTTAAACGACATTTTTAGCCTGTACAAGTTTAAAAACGTTATAACAAGGGATCGCATAAATATTGCTACAAGCGTCATGGGGAGTTAGGTCTTATTATCAGGATTAAAATTGCATAGGGAATCCATGCTCGGAAATGTTGGTATGCGGAATTTTCAGCGGAAGTGACAAAAACCTTTTGTATGAGTCCTTGTGGTTTATAAGTTGATTAATGTTTTTTGTTCCAAAATTTTTCTCTTTTCGCTGTATCTTAAAGTATATATTAAACAATAGCATTCTGCTATAGGACATTCTTTTTTAATATACTGCATTAACAATCTATAAAACTATGAAATTATTATTTTTACTATATATTACAAATATTAAATTTAAAATTGATTTTTAATAGAATATTGCAACATTTTTTTAATGAAGTGCTTAGGGAAAAAAACACATTAAAAACCATTGCAATTAAGCTGTTCCAGTGCAAATGCTACTTTTTTTTCATACTGCAGTTGTAAATTGCTCAGGGTTTTATTATTTTTTAATTAAAAGGCGCAGCTGTACATTTCCAAGGCTGATCTGATAAATCCTAAACAGATTGTGTGAATTACATACCTATTTAATATTTTTCGAGAGTAACCTCCACCTGATGTAACGCACTATAAAAAATTTCTAAATTCTTGATTCTGAACAACTTACTCCGTATAAAATTTTCTTCAATCCATAAAACTTATTAAGCCCTCATTAAATCTGACATTGAGGATTTTTTTCCTTTCTTCCTTCGCTAAACCTTGAACCTTAAATAAAATTTTATTTTTTGGAATGGAAAAACCGACTGCAAAAGATTCATTTCAACAACCTCCGAAAGACAAAAATTTAATCCAGGAAAAAGGTTTAAGAATATTGAACACATTAAATTATTAAAAAAATGATCAAAAATGTGTGGACCTTTTTTGCCCTATTAAATTATCTATTTTACACTCTGACGACATTTTTTTTAATATTCAATATTATTTTTTATTAAATTGTAGAATTTGACATCACAAAATTTCATTTGAAGTTAAACTTTTAATATTTTCTTTTATAACTAATCGAAAATATTAATGCATCGATGAAAAAATGTGAAAGACTTCTTTACAAAGTGGATAGAGATAGAAAGCTGAGAATTGATTTATCATAAAATGGCGTCCTGGAAAGAAATATCAACAACTAAATAGTTCCATGGGTTATGTTCAACTTCAAATAAACGTGTGTTGTCAACTAGCAATGATAAACGTGAAGTGATAATACCAGGGCCAACGCGATATTTTTGTTCCGTTTCATTGTTATATGGAAATAATATTCGTGGTACTTAAAAAGTCCCGTCGAAACACAAAGGTTTAAGAAAATTTCAGTGTTAGAATTAAACGTTCCACAATAGGATGTTAAAAGCTGTTTCTAAAATTTTATAATTTATTTTATAAGTACAGAAGTATTGTCACAATTAGACCTCACTGCTGAAGGCAACTTTTCAGAAAGAGAGTTATTTTTCGATGATGAAGATATAAAACATGGATTGTGGAACAAAATTTAAAATTTTATTAACATAAAACAGAATTTAGCAGTTGAGAAAACCTTTAAATAACATTTGATATACCATAAAAACTAATCACTTGCTATATCCTCCATTCACAACAAGAACCAAAATACTATAAAGATGCCCCATCTGGCTGTTTTAAAATTTTTACATACCGGTCAGCTTCCTCAACTTGCTAGCCTTCCTTTTCTGCTGTCACTGACTGATAGTATTGTCCATGCTTTACTTTTATTAGTAATCAACAATGAAACCTTCAAATTCCTTAAAAGTGTATTATAGAAAATGAAAGGTAACTTCGAAACATTTTAAATTTGAATGTAATTCATATAATGTTTTTAGATCAGACCTAGAAAATTAATAGCCGCACTTTATATTTTGCAAACTGTGCGAAGATGTTATAAAATGCTTAGTATAAAAACTTAAATGACGGACAGTTTATTTCTACAAAACGCATATGTCATAGGTCAACACAGAAAGACGTTTTTGGAACTGGACATATAATGCACTTCTTCCAGAACTGTTTGCCGCCAACTGGTACAATGGTAGAAGTCCTCTTGGGTTACGTCTGTTTTTAGATGATCGTAACAATTTGAAAATAGGATATGCTGTTCTTAGACAAGTCAGAATTCATCCAAGTAAGTCATTCATTTCGCTTTAAATGCATGCACAAAGGAATTTGAAAAAGGCAGGACGTTCGGTGCCCTGTTTTTAGAAAACTGCAGGTTTTAATTTTACTAAATATTTCAGGCAAATCCTACATTTTTACATTAAATTTTATTGGAAACTTTGCATTTCAGATAAGAAATTATTTATCTTACCACAAACAGAGCCCTCCATAGGTACTTTATTTACGTCGATCTAGAGATGCGCAATGGGCTATTGGCAATGGTCTGGGAAACAGGGATCCGAAGACATGCCATCACAATCATAGGGCATGACTCCCCTGCTCCGGTAGATCGACAACCTGTGAGCGAATTAGAGCACTTTATGGTAGAACAGTTTAACGGGGTGTCCAAGCGGTGGTGATATTTGAAAAAAATTTTTAAGTTATTAAGAAAATTCTTCTTTTTATAAATAATTTAGAATCAAAATTATGGAATTAAAAAATAAGATTTATTTAAATACTGTAAAATGATAATTTAAGTAAAGCACTTGAAAGCACAATTCCTCACTTCTACGTTCCGCTGATATTGTGCTTATAAAATGTTGACGATGACACAAAATTTGAAGATAAAAAAATAGAAAAAATTATGTTTTATTTTCAATAAAATATTACGCTAAAAAATTTTTTTTTCGTTTTCTGGAAAGTAGTTTGAAAAAGTTTTTTCAATAATATAAGCGGAAATTCAGGAATATGTGTAATTCATTTTTTAAATCCCACAGCAGAAAAATATTTAAAAAGCTTCGCAAAGTCCATAGCGATGATTTTGCCAACAAGAAATAGTAAAACTTTCTCAGTATTAAAACAACCAAACATTTACTGCCCATTAACACTAACGTAATGAAACAGTCGGTTAGAAACTCGAATTAAACCCAATTGCAAACATAAACTTATAGATTAAATTGACATTAAGTTCACTAAAACGTTGCACTTATCAGTTCGTTGAATAAAAAATGTCAGAGATTTGTTTATGTTATGTTTTAAAATTAAATCTCTTTTTTAATAACCTTCTAGGAAGTTGCAATGTACACTGGCTGATGCAAAGCATAACACCCGAGTGTGCGGGATATGGTGGAATGGTGCATGAAGATGGTACACTATATACTAAAGGCTGGATCGAGGTGAATTCCACAGAAACACTTGTACCACCGGAATACAAATATTTGACAGCATCACAACTGAAGGGCTATCCGTTTTGGGGACAGATTGACTGGTACGGCGGAGGTGGGTATGTTGTACCATTAATAGCCAAGCGTGACAGTGACATTGATTCACTTAGACAACGATTGTACAAAATAGAAAGAGATGGATGGATTGACAAATATACTCGAGCCATTTTCGTAGAATTCGGAGTTTACAATGCACAAATAAATCTATTTTGTGCCGTTACAATCTTGGCAGAATTCCTGCCTGGTGGAGGAGTAGTTCCGTATTATCACATCGACCCCCTTCGCCTCCTGAATTACCATACAGGGTTCGGGTTGATCCAGTTGGCCGTAGAAATTCTCTTTGTAATTTTTACAGTTTTTTTCACTTATAAAGAAGTGAGCAGTATGATTCAACAAGGTCTGGCTTACTTCAAACAGTACTGGAACAATGCTGAGGTAGTAAGCATTGTAGTGTCCTACACTGGAATAGCCAATCACATTTACAAGTTGTTTGCAACAGCAGAAATTCTGCGGATCTTCACAGAGACCGATGGAACTGGATATATCAAACTGCAAGAAGCTGTACTTCTGAATGAGCTATTCTGCTACCAAATAGGCCTAGTGATGTCCATTTCAACTTTGAAATTCTTAAAGCTCTTGCGATTTAACAAGCGCATTGGAATACTAAGCAGTGCCCTTAGGATTTGCGGACAAGAATTGCAAAGCTATGCTGTCTGCCTGATGATCGTGTTTATGGCATTTGTGATCTTATTCTGGCTCCTTTTGGGAAGATTTGTCCGAGAGTTTTCGACCTTTGTTTACTCCTTTGAATCTTCAATTAGTATGATGTTGAAGAAATTCAACTACGAAGATATGTACGCCGCTCAACCGGTATTCACACCCATTGCCTTCTTCACCTTCTCCTTGGCAACATCATTGGTACTTATTAACATCTTACTGAGCATTATCATAAGGTCCTTCGAGGATGTGAAGCACGATGTCAATCTTCAGAGTGATGAATACGAAGTCCTGGATTTCTTCATCAATAGGATCAAGATGATGCTCGGAATAGGAACGGCGAAAGTTCGGCCTATGCCCAACTTGCATGGCGAGAAGATTAAACCATTAGACTCGATCTCTACTTTCCCTGCAAAAGTAGACAGGCTTGTGGACTTTATCAATGACTTTTATTTTGACAGTCAAATGGATTTCAACAGCAAGGAGTTTTTGAAAAAGATGAATGCAGATACTACGATGATCAACAAAGGTGGGAAAAGAAACGCCCGACCGGTATTGAAAAGTAAAATTCCAAAAAGTGTCTCCGAGCAGTTTGACGACTTTTAGCTCTTTAAACTTCTACTTATGCTAGAAGCACTTTTAGTGTTTAGAAAATGGCATTCATCTATGAGGGTTGTTTTTTAAATAAGAGCCGTTTGAAAATAAAAAGCAAACGAAAGAAAATATTTATGAAGCAAAGTTATTTTCAGACTCTACATACATTTCTCTTTTTTCAGTATAGTAGCCAAGTTTGTTTAAACACTTATCATACCTTACAACTATATTTAGAATACCCTCTTTGTATTAACTAGCTGCCTGTTCCATTAGTCAAGAGGTCAGGACCGTTCTCACGTCTTCGTCACCGTTGTACTAGTTGCCGCCACATTAATGTTTGAAACACAGGAAAAGATGAAAATCACTTAGCGCAAGGACTGGGTTGTATTGAGGGGTGGTCCAAAACTTCCCAGCCAAAAAGAGTCAAAAAAGCTCTGAGATGTGAGAGTCGCTGTCATAGAGTAGCAAAATTTCCAGTCAGAAACTTCACAAATCTGTCGGTGAATGTATGCAGCAGACATATTTTTTACCGACTAAAAACACATCACTGACCGTACCTCATACGCAGCGGGCGATTTGTTAAACTTGAACATTTTAAAGACACAGAACTGACCATGCAGGTTACCTACACAGCTGTTTCTAAGGAATGCCAGGACACGACGAAAGCACTCCTCACCTTTTAGTGTACACAGCAAAACGGCCCTTACTTAAAAAACAGTCCTTGTATATTTAATGATGATGATGTAAATGCTTCACTTCCATTGCTTTCTTCTCCACAGGTACTTAATATCCTCATTGTAAAATTGTTTGAGGGTGGACTTTTGTTGTCAATATGATAAAGACAACAGATGTAAGAAAGGTACAAAGTTAGTTCTATGCTTAACTTTTATTAAAATGTACTAGCTTTATCTCAATAATAAGATTTATAGACTTAATCACACCAGGCCAGATTTAAAGACTCATTTACCATCAGTGAATTCTACAATTTAATTATAAAAAATAAAAAATAGAATACTTTGTAATGAGTTCTTTAAAAATAGCATATTATTAGAAAAACAATGTCCTCGAAAGCGAACCCAATAGATCAATCATTCCTTTGACGCAAAATTTTTATTAAACATATTTTTCATACTTTTTTCAATTAATTTAGGTCAAAGTAAGTGAACAATACTATATTATTTAGCATTTTAATAATTTATGAGTATGAAATACAGCATGAAACACTCGTGTTTCGTTTTGTGTCAAAAGTAATTTCCAAACACTGCTCACTTCCAAACAATAACTTTTCAAATTTGCAATTATTCAGATCTCAGAATAACAATTGATCAATGAAATTTCTTCACTTTACACAATCAATTATTGATAAATTTTTGAATATGAAGGGGAAAAAAAAGATTTCTTTCATGCCACTTTTCTGGGATTATTTTAGTGCAAATATAGTTCCGATAATCTAACATATTTTTAATAACTATTAAGACTGTTCTTTATTATTAAAAATATACCAAAATATTTTTTTGCTTGTAACTAGAGTGGGCGAAAAAAATATATCAAATGGACACCGGTGTCCCATCTGCATCAAAGGGTTAACAAATTAACCATAATTATTATAATATACAGAAAATTAAATGTGTAGATCATTCTATATTATAAGTAATTCTGCATTTTTAGCATCTTAGCAATTTCGGTAGAGCTCTATTAATAGTGATTGTTTAATATATATTTAATCAATTTACAGTGTAACTAATATAATAAGCGAATTTGAATTGCTAATTTTATTTAAAATATGTTTCAATAGATCAATAAAGTAAATATGCAATCTGTATTCTTCCATTATTTAAGTAACCAGTTCATAGCTGCCAGCTTGTATGGTCGTTGGACGAAAATTTGAGTAGTGTGTAAAATATTATAAGCTTCAACATATTTGAAGCAAACCCTTCAAATCATTAGAATTGGTACCTGAAACATGGCAATCTGGTTATTAGAAGTAAAGTTATTCGGAGCAAATAATTTTTTTTAAAAATACGTTAGGTAACTGTACATCTTTTTCATTTCAGTTCATTTTTCTTCAGCATTTTGACTAGAACAAAACTATATTTAAATTCATAAAAAATAAGTTTCCAACAATATAATTTTTTGGAATGCAATCGATTTACTGCAACAGGATTTTAAACTCCCTACTTCTCTGGCAATAGGAGAAAAGCCCAACCATTATGCCACGAATCTACATACGTTGGAAAGTTCTGTTAACTTGCAAGTAAATGAACTGAAATTTTATGGGGCATATTTTATCCCAGGAGCAAAAGCGGTGACAAATTTTTACCCTATCAGAGGTTTTTAGCCAGGCTCTTTAATTTAAGATTAATTACGTAAGAATAGAAATTTTACAGACGTGTACTTCCCTGGTTCAATCAAAGAATGACACTGATCTAAGCAAATTAAAAAATAACATTTCAAATAATAATAGGTCAAAATGGTAAGGCAGCTAAAGCCAAATTTGTCTTATATAAAAAAATTTAGAAACACAAATCAAGCAACAACAAAAAAAAAGTAAGAAAAAAAAAAGAATTTCTAAAGATATGCATGTCAGCAAAAAAAGCACTTCATCAGGGGATGCCTTTCTGAGATTTCTGTCTTCAGTGGTGATCGCAGAAAGGCTGTGTTTTAGCAGACAGGGCATTACCTGATGAAGTGCTTTTTTTGCTAACATACATATCTTTAGAAATTCTTTTCTTTTTTTTTTTCTTTTTTTTTTTGATTTGTGTTTCTAACTTTACCAACATGAAATACATAATGTATTTACAGATTAAAACTTTTGATTTCATTGAAAGGGAGCTAAAAAAGTACAAACAAATGAAACATAATTCAGTAACATAATTAATTCACTTTAATTAGCAGATTTCAATAAATAAAAAAAATTTGTGAGTATGTTACAGCAGTAAAATCTGTTTAAGAAGTCACTCATATAGAAAATTTTTCTGTTTAAATATGTAGAAAAACAAAGAAAAATTTAATTAAAGTCTTTAGAAAATTTAATTCATTGTAGTAAAAACCAGTGAATAATTAGAAAAATTTAGAAACTATATCTTTTTCAGATAGGAACTTCCTGTCTTTAATATAAAAAAAAATAAAAAGAATTTAGGTAAATTAGTTTTAGTACATACTTTCTTCCTGGCAGTAGAATCCTTGCAGCATGGCAGTGAGCGCTGCAGATTATCATAGCATCTGCAGATTATTCAACATCCCTGATCAGATGATTTTTACAATTATGTTGTGTTGTTTTTTTCTAATGCCCCTTACCAACATCAGCTAACCTACTTGGTGAAACCAAGCAAATTTAAGGCAGAGGGTGCATTTCTTGTTTTTCAGTGGCGCCATCCATGGCCAAGAATAAGACTTAAGCCACAGCCTGTTTTTAGGGCCGATCCATTCATACATTCACAGATGGTAATTTTGATCTGAACCAGAAAGTGATCTATTTTCAATTTAGTACCTTCAAAGGTATTGATTTATTATGAGAACATGGAGGACTTTTAAAAAAAATCGGCAGATTTAATGTGCACCACTCACCATTTACTACACAGGGAGTCTTCAGCTGGCGGGGATTGAACAACTCACAACCTCTTGTGCATAGGCCCAACGCCCTACCAATTAGGCTATCCTGGCCCAGAGTTTTGTAGCTGAGTTGAGGGTCTCAGAAAAATTTAGTTTTTGGAAGATCGTGATTGACTTTAACAAACATTATTTAATAACATTCAAGTTTGGAAGTACAGTCAAACCCGCTACAGTGAACCTTCAAGGGACCGAAATTTTGGTTCACTATAACCGGGAGTTCACTATATCCGTTCCGCAGGCAATTTAACCAATGGTTCCCAAACTCCTCCCTTTTATTACACATTATTTAAATAAATGACTGAAAAATATTATTTAGTAGCGAAAAATGTGTTATTTTTCATTACTCTTCGTCTTGCTTACAAAAAAAAAAAAAAAATTTAGTAATCTTTAGCTGATGTGCAATCCTGGCAGAAAATTCATATTGATCCCACTGACACCTTACAGGTGCAATATCTGCTTGGTTTGTTTAGGGATGGGAAAGTGAGATAAAAGAAGCTTATCGCTAAATTCCCCTCTATAGATGGTTTTAAAAATCGGTATATGTTTAAAGTAAAAATTTCAAAATTATTACAAAAAAATGAAGAAAAAAATCAGTTGAAGACAGAAAAAAGTTCATTATATCCAACTTCCTCACTTTTTTGGTTTACTATATCCACAAAAAATAACATTATACGTGTATAGCAAGGCACGGGACCTAACATTTCGTTCACTATATCCGGGAGTTCACTATAAACCGTGTTCACTATAGCGGGGTTTGACTGTATCTAAATCCCAGAAAGTAAGGCCTAAAATATGTGATATATAATGCAAAAAAGTATTTTAGCATATTTAACTCATAATACATATTTTTTTTTTATTAGCCTACAAATTTAGAACACTTTGAAAGCTCTTTGAGTTGGCGAAATGTTTCTTAGAAAAGAAAGAAAAAAATTCTCAAGAGGGTTTGACAGTATGTTATAAATAAAAACAACTTTTAACCAACAAAAGAAATTTATTTACTTTTTCTTGAGAATTTTAATTACAATATTTTATACAGCATTTCAATTATGGATTCACCATATTTTTGTCAGCAGAAAAAAAAGATTTTAATTTAAATATCAATCTGAATAACTTATTAACTTCATATGCAGACACATTGATTACTAAATGCCTCAATATGATAAGAATGGGAGGAATTCACATGAGTGAAAGTTAAAAGTACTACAGTTGAGATCTTCATATTTAAAAAGTACACCAGCAGTGTTTCTTATGCGTAAAAATAATGATCCAAAAATGAAGAAAATGGGAATGATGACAACATGAGGAACGTGCTTAATAGAAGCGAACTTGAATCGCTCTTCCATCCATTCGATATCCGTTCATAAGATCTAGGAAACTGAGCTAAGGAAAACAATGACAGACACATGAAATGGTGTATCACATAATATATCGCATTGAGGTTATTTAATTTCTAAGACTGATATAAGAACATCTCAACAACAAAAAATGAAATACAGATCCATTTAATAGACTTTCAAAACACTTTCATCTGCCACGAAAATTTTTGGAAAAAAAAAGTTGCAGAATAACAAAAATTCAGATGATAACTATTAAAATTAAAAAAGCTATGATAACTATTGCAATTAAATGAAATTATTACATCAAACAAAATATAAATTAAATTTTAAAAAAAAAAAAAAAAAATTTTTTTTGTATAAACATTTTGTATATAAAGGAGAAATTTCACCTAACATGACAAGATTTTACTGTTTCAAAATATCATAACTTATTGAACTTTCAATTTAGTATATTTTCGTGCCAAAAACTAGTTTGAAAATTTAATAATCCCTAGGAAATTGCAATTTGTTTTACTAATTTGGAATGCAACTAAATTTTTTTAAAACAAAGCAGCTTGTAAAGTATCAGTTTGTACTCTGGACATAAACTGTTCTCAGAGATCAATTCAAATTTTTAAAATATAAACTAAATCTCCATCATACAAGGTTTGATTTCATTCTCTGCAAATAAGTATATGGCCTCAATTTACCACTTTTAAACTTAATCCTAGGAAAAATGACTTTTTTTTGTCATCTTTCAAATATCAAGAGTTCTAAATATTCAGAAACAATCATATTCGATAGAATAAGATATTAGAATAATATTTTTTACAAATTGTGGATTGTTCCCCAGTTTTAGAAAATAATTCTAAAATTGCAAAAATTTCATAAGTTTAAGATAGAAAACAAGAGAAAAATAGCAGAATTCCACAGAAAAATGACATGCCTCATTATTCTGCAGTTAGAAAAATGTTAGTGAAATTTTTGTATATTTTAGAAATAGCAAGAAAGAAAATTTCTGGCAATAATTCTGGGATAAAAGCAGAAAATATCATATTGTCAGCATTACACTGGACAAATGGCATTCTTTAAGTAAACTCTAATTTCTTTAAAAATTAAATTATTTGTAGTCCTTCAATATTTAACATTACGTAAGTATAGTATAAGTATAATCTATCATAAAAACTTTATTAACACTATTAAATTAAATCACTAACTAACCATACATACTACTAAAAGTCACACATTAAATTTCTAATTATAAATAATTTACTAATTTTTTAAAATGCAGTTAACTAGGAATACTCAAACTGACACTTAAATATTAGAATTTAAAATTCGATAAAAAAAAATAAAAACGAATAATAGGAAGATTTTTTTTAAAAGTGTTGATTTAAAAAACTTTAAAAAAATTTATTTAGTACCAGAAAATGTATTATAATTTTAAACTATTTCAATAATACTAAATACTAAACACATAGCTGCCAACATTGATAAGTAAAAATTCAGTAGATTTTACGACATACTACAAATTTCATGATAATTGTTGCAAAATGTACTAAATATTTTACACATAGGGAATTTTAGGGATTTTCATATTCATCAAAAGAGAAAAACAGCAATATTTTCCAGTTATGATTAACATTAAATGAACTTGCAATCTAAATATATATTTCTCTTACACAGCGACAAAAAAAAGCCTCATTACAACTCCCCGAATGGCAACACTAGAAGATCGACCAACGATTGCCGCTAAAAATGTCACATGCCAAATATAGCTGAGGTGGCTCAACATATAGCGCATTTAAAAATGGAAACTGAAATAACCTTAAGCTAGGGAGAAGTGAGTAGTCTTTATCGATAGATCTCTATTTTAGTATTTTGTCGAAAGCGCTTTTTTTCACGAATTTATATATTACGAATTTATTTGACGATTTTTGATTTATATCACGAATTTATTTGTTTTATTATTGTTATTAGTTATTCATTGAAAAATGAGTCTCAGTCGAGCTGTTACGCTTTAAGATTTTATACTATGGCACATTTCTAATAGGTTTAACGAATTACACGTCATTTACTATTCAAATTTATTTTAATGACTTAGTATTTACTAAAAAGATGTAATTCTTTTTAAACAAAAATTATATGGATTTGAATGACTGTTTTGAATTCTTAGAATTTTGTGCATTTGCAATGTACGTAAGTTAGCAGCGAGTGAAGCGTGCTTGGTTTGCGAAGCAAACCATATAAGATTGTGCAGGCCACTAGTGTTATGTATTATGTTTACTCATAATTTTGAAAAGTAATAAGCATTTAATTCATCAAAGATAGGTAAAAGATTTTAATTAATTCAAAAAGGAAGTTCTACATTAACTCAAAAATTTAGGACAAAAAGAATTTTTAAACTGATTTTTATAAATGAGAATCGCTTATGTATTAGTAACATATATTTAAATATTCAAGCAAGCAATAATCTGTGCAAAATTTCTATTTCAATAGGGATATTTTCAAGGAAACTTACTTTCAGAGAATTTTCAAAAATGTTTAAAGACCAGGAGAATTTTTATTAAACTAGTAGACCAAAAGAAAACGGCAAAATCCAGTAGAGTTTGCAGCTATGTAAATTTTTTCATTTTGTCCAGTTTCTTCTAACTTCGTGAAAGAAATAGGTTTCTTACAGACAAAATGCCAACCCTATATTATGCAGATACACACACAACAGTAAAAAGGATACCGACAGCACGTTGAGCATCCTGCATATTAGTGAAGCGTATTATGGCATTACCTTGGCCTTTCAACTCAGCATACCTCACATCACCTAACACCGAAATACATAAATTATACATATATATAACACAATGTAATTTAGACTTTAAATAGAATTTTCATTTTATGTACAAACAATTACACATCATTGCAACTAAAAAAAATATATCATTAAACTTTACAAGTTGTACTTTATGTGAGAAATTTACACTAAAAATTTTTTTTCATAATAAAAATTGCATAAAATCAAGCAAGTCGGCATGATTCAAGGGCTCAAAAAGCGGCGTCCATTTGCAAGACTTGCCAAACATGAGTGAGTAGAAACAAAACTAGAAAAACTACAGTAGCTAAGAGAGAAAAAATATTTTGAAAAACAAAGCAAAAAACCTACAAGAGGACAAGAGGGACAAATTGTGGTAAAATAAATTTTTGTTAAAATTTTATTTATTTGCACGCCAAGCAGAGGTAGTGAAAAACTTATGTTGTTAACAAGGGAATAAGCATTCATATGAATAAAACAAAATTCCAGGGCATCAAAACGAGCTGATGTGATTGAGGTGGAAATAATTTTGGCATTGGTGAAATCAAATTTATGCTCAAGATTCCAACGATGTACAGCAATTGCTCAACTAAAAGGTTTATTCATAGAAGAAAGTGATTAACAGAGATAGTTTGCTGTTATGCAACTGAATATTTATATTAAATTGCTGAACAAGAAGGAGTAATGTGTATACATTTTTTAAACAAAATGCTTTATGCAAAAAAAGCCAGATTTTTCAAAGAATATTTTGGTTCCAAAACAGCTTACAAAATAGCTTTGGTACCAAAATAGCTTTGGTTCCAAAATAGCTTTCATAGAAATTGTCATACTTAATATAACATTTTACGATGAGTAAAAGTTTTCAATTGAGAAGTAATGCACAATAAAAAATTAAAAAACATATATAAAAAATAAATTGTCATATTGTTAATTGTTTCAGATTTTTCATGCATATTACATACATAAGGCATAAAATATTAAATATGAGTGTTAACCGCGAACTATTTTTTATATATGTTTAACATTTAATGGTTTGTGTAAGTCCGTCATACCTAAAATTAATCTAATTAAGCAACTTAGACACAAACGAACTCTTTTATTAAAATTTTGAATAATTTGAAAGTCTTTAATTCGAATTCGTGGATAATTTGAAGTTTTTTGTTGGTCCCTTGAAACCTAAATATTCAGTTAATGCAACAAAATCTTGGTTATTTCGAAGTCTAACTTCTTTAGTTCAAATTTTTTACCCTTTCAAAAATGGCAAAATCTAGATTTAATGCAGTTATTTTCAGCCATTATGGAAAAATTTTTAGGGAACAGAACATTTTTATCTGTTCTAGGAAACAAAAAGGGATAAAGGGGGGATGATATCTAAACCACCCGTACCTGTCCTTAGATACGGGTGGTCCCCGCCTCTTCCTTGTAAGTGACGCATGATATACTTTCGCCAATGCGATAAATCATAAATGGCACATGTTGCAATTCGTTAGAAACCAGCATTTTAGTTTTCTTCACCATAATTTTAGCTTTTGTGGTGCGAATTCAGTGAAAGCATGCTGTTGAGTAAGCCCAGTGCCCTGTATAAAACCTTCTCTTTCGATGAAAAAGTTGCTGCGATTCGTGAAGTAGAAAAAGAGTGTAAAGAAGAAATGCATCATTGCAAAAAAAAGTATGGAATAGCACGTAGCACTCTTTCGACCTTTTGAAAGATAAAGAAAATATTTTGAAAACTAATCGAAATCGCAGACGAGCTAGAGAACCCGATGTGGTTGAGTGCGTCTTCAAGTGATTTAAGCAAGCGCGGGACAAAAGTATCCCTCTCATTCAAACTCTTGTTCGAGCAAAAGCGGAAGAATTTACTGACAGCTTAAGAAACAACAACTTCAAAGCAAGCTCCGGATGGTTAGACGGACTTAAGGAAATAAATGGAATTCTCTTCAAGTCTATGTGTAGTGAAAGGCGACAAAAAAATTTCTTGGATAATTCAAAGTTTTGCATTAGCCCTTGCACTTTGAATTATCAAAGTTCGACTGTAATGTAAACCATACCTATATCACGGAATCTGTCTTTGAGACTCTGCCAACTGAAGGTACTTGGCAACTACAAAAAATAAATATTACACATTAGTATCATTTAAACAAAAGAAATTTAAAAACTATTAAATAAATAAAATTTTAGAAATTTAGAAAATTTTAACTAATTTTAAAAAAATAAATAAATAAATAAATAAACCTTTAGCAATGTTTTCTGTAAATAGTTTGAGGAAAAAAGGCATGCAGTATACCGTCGATATCTCAAAGTTGAAGGGATGGTAAAAAAATTTCAAGACAGCAAGCTTTCGAGATAACAAATTTAAAACTCAATATGTTCTAAAAGTTATATTTTAAAATATTAATCTAAAAAGTAGAGTCATGAAATATAATTATAACTAATAATAAATATGTATGTAATGATAGTTGACAATAAGTCTAAATGCAATAATAGTAATTTTATTTTTACAAGTAAGAGGAAAATAAATATGTATTAAATAGAAAATAATTGGTTTGCAAACTTACAATGTGATTTTTCCGAAAAAATTCATAATTTTTTTCGAAATTTTTTTGACAAAACACGGTTTTGAGAAGAAACTCTTCAACATAGGAATTCAAATTAACATTAAGTGGCTATATAATGCCAAGGAGAAAAATATTCTTTTGACATAACTGAGTTTTTGAAATATTGAAGTTTGAGATATTGAAAGTATACTGTACTATATTACTTGAAATAACATTCACTTTCACATGCCACATGAGAAAAACACGCCACACAAGCGACACTAGACAAGAATGCTTTAACAATAACAACATTCTCAATTTGATCAATGTCTAAAGAAGACTTAAGCATAGACAGTAATAATTTAGGTTCATTACTTCCCTATTTTGTTCAAAACTTGCCGAGCAAAGCTTTATGATTAGCACAAAAGGCAAAGTGGTGGAGTCTGTAAATAGTCCCCGTCTGTTATTATTAAAATACTAAACCTATATTTTAATCTATATAAGAGAGTATTGTTTTAAATCAATATTCAATTCCCATTTGAAATATAATTTTTTTACTTAAAAGTTCACATAAATTTACATTATCAAAATAATTTAAACTGATACTTACAATGTTCTTAAAATGTGCTAATAACCTTATTTCAAAGAACTACCAAGGGCGCCACAAATACTAAGAAAATATTCACAGACTTTTCCGCAGATTTATTTTATTGAATTTGTAAACAGTGCCATAAACTTTATAATTATTCAGTTATACTTTATTCTAATTTGAATATTACAAAACTTTTGAACTTTGAACTAGGGTTGAAAATAAACAATTTAAAAAGAAATTTATTATAATACCAACACCTTAGGAACAGATTTTTTCTCAGTTATCTTCCAGTTCTGTGCACACCTGGATGAAGCATAGTAGTAAATATTTCACAGAATAAACTGGTAACAAAGTTAACAGATAAAAGCATTTCTTTCCTGTGAAGTACTAAGTCGAGTCCATTTTTGGCCTTCACGTGAAAACAATTTAAAAATGTCTACTTTTTGGTCTATTTTGCTGTTTTTTAGAATAATAAATAAAAAAAATACTAATATTACGTTCATCTATTAATAAAATTATTTTAGAATTACAAGGGGTAGTACAGTCAGCAAAAAAAAAAAGATATCACCCTGAATAACTTTTGTTCTAATGATCGGATTTTCACGATCTAAGTGTCAATCTTAATGGTTCCCGGGGGTGACCTCAAATATGCTAATTAATTAGTGCTAACTATTAATTAAGTTACGAAATCANAATACATGTTTATTCAGAGAAAGTACGTTTTTGTGTCTGATTTCGTAACTTATTTAATAGTTAGCACTAATTAATTAGCATATTTGAGGTCACCCCCGGGAGCCATTAAGATTGACACTTAGATCGTGAAAATCCGATCATTAGAACAAAATTTATTCAGGGTGATATCTTTTTTTTTTTGCTGACTGTACAATAACTTAAAAGCTATTACAACATTAACTTTCCAAAGTAACAACTGAGTGATTTGTGAACAAAAAAAGAACTTCACAAGGATTTAAACAGCTTCTAAAAAAAATATTAAAAAAAAAAAAAAACACATAATTTATTAAAAAAAAAAAATTTAAACAACCGGATTATTATGAGGATAAATTTTAGTTTTTTTTTAGTTTCAGCTGTGATGAATACTCCTATGCACTAAAAAAGGAATGTGATAATGAAAGATTTAGAGTCCAAAATATGAAACAGGTTTCAATAGTTAACATCCAAATTTCAATTCTCTTATTTCTCAGCCCAAGTAATTTTTTTTTCACAAAACTTACATTTATTAGAAAACTGAAACAAACTTGGAATAATTCCAGTAACCAACACTGATGAAATATTTTACTTGAAGTCCTAAAAGCCAATAACTTTGAATGAAGCCAATTTCAGCAGATTGAAAATAAATTGTCCACCAATTTACGTCGCACGTCTTGCATGACACTATCACGCTAAAAATTGAGAATATATAAACAGTTCAATACATTTTTTCCTCAAATCCACCTCTTTCTTGGATCACAATTTTTATCATCTTCTATAATCAATCAGAAATTATTTCAACAGATAAGGTGTATGAAAAACAGCAAAAATAATCCAAAGTATCATTATTTCATACAGAATCACAAATACCACTTGTAAAGGAATACTTAAATACAATTTACAACCAGCACATGTTCAAGCTGAACACAATCCAATTCTTATAAAAATTAAAATAATCTAAAATTGATCAAATAAAAACCTCACTAGCTGATATATTTGCAACAAAACCACACCAGACACTTCTAAATTGAGCTTTACATTACAATTTAGATGTGTTTGGTCTGAATTTCTCGTTTCACAACAGAAATAACATGAGCACCCAACTCGCAGAACCATTTTTTAAAACATTAATAAAAAATTGGCACTTATAACTGTGCCAAAATACTGCTTGTGATAAAGTACTCCTTCTAACTGAACATAAAAACAAGCTTGTTTGAAGAATTAAAATGCATATTTTTAAAAAAAAGATCAAATAAAAATATCACCAACTAAATCAATTTACAACAAAAACACACCAAACATTTCTAAATTGCACCTTGTCAGGACTGAATTCAGTTACCAAATCAGAATGCTTTTCCTTTCAAAAATACCATTAAATATTATACCACCACAGCGATTCACATAAATACAAAAACTATTTTGACTTTTCAAACAAAAGTAATTCAACATTGAAATCACCGAGATGAAACATAAGATGGCAGAGAAAAGAAACCCCATGACAAGAAACCTGAATATATATAACTTAAAGAAGAGTGGTTTTCATACACATTTAATTGTTAAGTCTTTCTAAACAATTCACCAAAATAATGTAAAAACAATAAAAGTTTTCAATTTAAATAAAATTTCATCAAGGGAATAATGACTAAAAAATAAAGTCAAAATAACATAAGGAGATCAAGAATACTATAAAACTATGTTATGAACTTACACCAAGATCACCATACCATTAATCTAAACCCTCTATTTTCTTTTCACTTAAATACAGTGCAAAGTCCCCTTTTTTCCGGACACTTTTTAACAGTCAAAACTCTTTCTCTCTAATTTTTTTTTTTTTTTTTTGCATTCGCGACTTGTTGAAAAAAAAGTATGCAGGGATGAGAATCCTCCATTTTCCGCTTCTTGATTTTTACCGGGTTTCCGATTGTCATTCAATTTTACTCCAATTTTCACTAAATATGGGATATGAAAAAAATGAAATTCGGCATTTCAGTACCGCACGAAAAAAAAAGTATTTTTTTCAAATCTCACATAAAAGAATTATTACCACCAAGAATCGAGTGTTTAATTTCAGAGTGTGCAAAAATTTCACATTTTGAAAAAAATGCGGATTTAAATTAAAATTACAGACAAGAGACAAAAGAGAGTGATTGATTATACGAAAGTGCGATTTGGAATATGAGAACAGTAATATTCTATTAAAAATTAAATAGAAATTTAAAAAACTATGTGGAAATCGCAAACTGTTGAAATGGTGATGGGCGAAACTATAAGGACAATAAAATCGTCACAAATAGTGACATCAAATTGTAATTAGACAAATGCCCGATTCAAAATTTCCTGTGTACGATTATGTAGGATTAAAAAATGATGAAAATTAGCAACAATAATTGAACGTTCGAATGCTCTAAAAATATTATCGCAAATCCATGCGAGATTGCAAGTGAATCGTCAACAATTGAATCCGAAATGAGCAGTTCGAAGTTTACCGATCAAACCAATATCGTATTAAAACATTGAGATTTTAAAAATGAAGAGAAAATCAGTTTTAAAATAATTACCAAAAAACAATAGGCAGACAAAACCATACAGACTCACTGAGGAATGATGGCTAATTGAGTAAATTTAGAATTGATAATTAACTAAAATTCGTGATTCAGAATTTGTTTAGAGATTTTAAAAACAATGTGGAAATCAGTAACAAAATCTTTTGAAATAACGCAAACACATGCATTTATTTGTTGTTTGAAATTGACATTTATTGAGTTAGGATATTTTTATATTTGTTCACCTTAAAGACCTATTATCTGGAAAAATCTATTTTCCCGACATGCCGAAATACCGACAATTTCGGATATGTGACTTTCCACGTTATTACCTAAAACCTTTAAAACAAATGAATTAATTTTTTTTTAATTGTTAGCAAATTTTAAATTTTACTTACGGTACAGGTATAAAAAAATATTGAGCAAGTTTTTAACTAAATTTCATATTTTTAAAAAATTGCATAAAATTCTGTTAACTGTGTGATAAGCTTAGCTACACCACAGGCATATTCCAGATACTGAAAAAACAGGAGTTTAAGACTTATTATAAAATTTATTTTGAGTGAAAAAAAAAAGTTACGCAATAATATTTAAAAAATATTTTGAACAATAGGGAAAATTTCAGAGTTCTCCCTAGGAATAAAAAAGAGCGGGGCGCTGCTCAGAAAAAGCCACGATAAGTTTTGAAAGGGTACTCATTCCCAAGACTGCTAAAAATTATCAAAATATGTAATATTATGAAATTAGGGGTAATTGCGAGCCCAAGTCAAAATTCCGGAAAATTTCTTGAGTTAAAAAAAAAAACAGTTTAAATTGAAAAATTAGAAAAAAATTTAAACAAGGTTTTTTTTTCCTTTTTCTCAATATTTCTTAGTTTACTTAAAATATATTTAAAATTTTACACATACCTATACCATTTACACATACCTATGATGACCTGGAGAAGTAATTAAAATTTACAAATATGTCTTTCTTTCTTGAGTTTATGATTATAACAACTATTTACTGATAAAAAATGAATATTAATCATGAATATAAGCTTATAAAGTATCTCTCTGGCTCTCCCTTACAAACAAATAAAATAAACTGTGTTTTTAAGTTCCACCTTTGAAAATTTGATTTCCGGAAACTTCTGTGATCAATGATTTTTTTAAAACATCTGGACCTTCGATCTCCAGAAACTTCCTGATCACTATGTGATCACCTCCTTTAGCAAAAATTCCGGAAATACGGATTTTTTCCGGAGCACAATCAGCCCTATGAAATAACTGAATTTGATCTTTAACACAATTTAATTTACTCTCATATACTATTTTATGTATATATTTCAAAAAAAAATTTTCTTCCGTTATCAGAATAAAAGAAAATTTTGTAGTTTCTAAAAATAATTATATAGATAGATAATCTTTTTTTGGAACACAGATTATTCAAAAAAAGTAAACTGAAAAAAATTATTAATTGATAAACAACCTGAATATAATTTAAACTGAAAATTATGAGAAAATAGTTAAAATTGCATTTTTCCTTAAAAAAATTTTTTTTTATTATTTATTTAAAAAATAATTTTGAAAATTAAAACCATTAAAAATTTAAGGAAAGAAAAGTTACTCATAAAAATTTTAAAAGTTGAGAATAATCCTAACAAAGTAAATACTTGTAATGGTAATCAGAATTAAACCTATAAACAGATTAGTTTATCAGTGTGTAATTATTATTTAAAAAATGAATTACTTAAAAAATGGTATATGAATAAAAAGAAAGTTACTGAAGGGATGGGGGTCTTATTTTTACAAAAAGAGCACATTTATAGGAATCAAACGGAAAGCGCTTCTAAAAACACTATGGGAGAACAGTCTATTCCAAACTGCAGATACGGGGAAGTTGCGAATTGATTTTAGTAGTGAATTAGTAAAAAAAAGTTGAAGACTCGTTCAGAAGGTAGAATTGAAAAAATAACTCACATTTTCTCAATCGATAGCAAAATATCGGTTTTTGCCTATATGTTGGCAAAATTAGTCACAGTCTTTTCTGCAAAACAGTCTTAGTTGCCAGCTCTGTATCAACTAAGACAACTGATCATACCAAAATAAAAAGCTGAAGTTAAAAATTAATCAGAATAACGATAATAAATAAATCAACTTTTCAATATTTAGAACGCACAATCAAACAATTTACAGCACGACCAGGTGTTTCACCATACAGTTGTATCATCAAAATGTATACTAGCCTAGCATCACAGCAATTGCAATATTGTTCTTTCAAGCAAAAGAAACTTTCTTTTCAGCGATTTTTCTATTTTCAAATCATTATCTTCTACTGCACAATGTGCCAAGTGATAATCTCACTGTTTGTGACCTCTTATTATCGAATGTTAATTTTTTACATCATCATACTCTCTGCGTATTTTTCTACATGCTTAAGAAATTTCAAGTCTTACATTTTTAGCTACAAAACGTAACTTAAAGTTCAACATCCAAAACAGTGCTAGTACATAGTAAGAGAGAAATTGCAGCTTTTTGCTAACATTGCTAAATAATCCCTACAAATCAATCATACATATCATAATATAGTTTCTGAAATCAAAGCTAATAGATAATGCACGTAGGCCTTACACTTAAAAACATATTTAACTTTGCTTTTAATTTATTGATTACAACAACAACAAAAAATCTTTCATTTTAAATGAAAACCTAAATCATTACACGCCTCAGCTGTGGTGGTAACAAAAATTATAAATTAACAAACAATAAACAAATGCAACAGCATCCACACCCTTTAAAATATCACAATGCCGACAGACAAGACAAATAAATACAGCTCATGCATAACACCTAGTAATCAATGACTGAGTTTGGTAACTGCATCCATAAGTATAAATTACTTTAAAAACTTAAACTAAGACCTACATTTCCTAATAAAATAGTATCTGAGATATTCGAACTGTTGAACGAATCGCTGCCTCTATCAAAAGCATCTCTAAATCCTCTGCTTGCATTGCTCATTTGATAGGAAGAGTCACGACCCACGCCATCTAGTGAGCGTCCCAAGACGCTGCTGCTAGACATCATGCCTGATGAGCTACCTAAGCCCATGCTTCCTACACTTGCAGATGAAACAACCATGTTTGCACTAGACAAGCCCATACCTAATGAGGAGGTACCCATCATTCTATCGGCAGTCATCGAATTATTCATACCCATCGATCCAGCTCCGAGACCCATTCCAGCGGAAGACATCATTCCCATATTACTTGAACCAACACCAATGCCATTACCGGGCATTCCACCAGCTACGTTGCCTGAAATGAAATCATGATAAATATTAAGCTGAAATAAATATTTAAAAGTGTGCCAGACTAAAAATAAGCAAAATCATTTTCACATATCCAATTCAGCCAGCTTCTCATGAAACAGCAATTCTGCACCAACACATTGTATAGAAACGTCGCTGCAGTTTCGAATGAAAATCGAAATTTGGCTGGACATATAATCGTAAAATGGTAGTTGGACACTTGGATCGTAGCATTTAAAGATTGATGAAATAATCAAATACAATCATTCCACACCATTCCAAAAGTTAAAAAAAAAAACTTTATCACACTTTCAAATAAAATTCAAATTTGACTGCACACTTAAACAAAATGACTGAAAATAATGAAAAAATACAATAATAAAACAGCCAGTCTCCACCAACTGCGATTCTAAAAATTGGAAACTTTACTATAGTTTCTAATAACGTTAAGATTTGGCAGAACACTTGCTTATAACAATTCTCCATTTATTAAGGAAAGATAGCCATTCTGCACCAATTGTGGTATTAAGATTCAACCGGACATTTGATCATTTGACTCGAGGCTTAGTAATGAAACGGCCAATCTTCACCAGCTGATCTAACTAAAAAGCAATTTTAGTTTTTAAGAGCCATGGTTGCTGAGGGTAAAGAATGCTCATCTCTAAATGACCTGGATGATCGTCTCCAAATGACCTGGGTTTGAATCCCAGCAATGGCTGCTTGATATGAATTCTGCATTCGGCTCACACCAACCATAATTCTGATGTAAAAATATCCTCAGACAAATCATGTGTTACAACTCCCTTGCCGTCAACCTTACCGTGGGAGGTTTTAGTGGTTTTCCTTTCCATGTAATGCAAATGTGGGTGAACTCCCTCAAAAAAAGTTCTCCTCAAAGGCAAATTTTTCCAAATATTTAATCCAGGAGCTCTCTTATTATCTCTCCCAGGGTTTAAAATTACAACGCTTCCAAGTTGAACATTTGTAGTTGTAAACTCAAAATTGGATGAGCTATTCAATAACAGTTATAAAATATCTTATCTTTCACCTCTTGTCATAAGGCTAACTATGAGAGGTTTCTGTGGTTAATAATTACTAGGCTAGTTTGTCTCAATGCTTGATCCAGGAGCTTCCTTGTCTTCTGAATTGGGTTCAAAATTACAAGGCTACAGAGTTGAACATTGGTAGTTGTAAACTCAAAATTTGGCCAGCTGTTCAACAATCATTATAAAATAATTTCTAATAAAATTGAGAATTAGCTTCATACTTGATTCGAACAAGTCAACATTTAATAATGAAGTAACCAATCTGCACCAATTGTGATATTAAGGTTCAAATGGATATTTGATCATCTGACCAGAGAGGCTAAAAATGAAGCATAGCCAGTCTGCACCAACTGTGCTCATAAAATTTAAGAAATTTTAATAAGTTTCAAATTTGAAGAAAAATAAAATTTAGCTGGGCACGATCATAATGATTCAAAATTTATAATGAAACAGAGCTGATCAGCACCAAGCAAAGATTCAACCAGACACTTGAACATAGGCTTCACGATTGAAAATAAAACAAACTATAATTTAATAAAAACTTTTTATATAAAAATAAGGAAAATAAGATTGCTGGATATATGATCATAAGGTTTCAAGATTAAATTATAAAACAGCCATCTTGTACCAAATGTTGATTCCAGTAGGAGTTACTCAACAACCAACAGTTTGTACACTACCACACATTTTTTTCTCACAAATATAAGTGTCTACAATAGAAAGAAAATTAATTTAAAAGACCCTGTTACATACAAATACATAAAGCAAAAAAATATGCCAAATCAATAAAAAAAATTCATACAATTGTATTAAAGCATGTTCACTTGATTTAGGGTGAGGATATGGATTCACTCAAACTAGGTAATCCATTGCATAGATCCACTGATTATAATGGCACAAGGTTCAATAATGGCACAAGGTTCAACAATATCACAAGGTTCAATAATGGCACAAGGTTCAACAATATCACAAAGTTCAATTATGACACACAGCCATCCAACAATAACTAATACACTTGCAGAATACAATTGATATTACGAGAGAAAATATGTAGAAAAGATAGTTGTTGAAAGAAAAAATTACAGCATAACACCAAAAAAAAATTTTTTTTAACATTTTTTTCCAACAAAATAAAAGTACAAGAAATTATAATAGTCGAGCAACTAAGTTAATAAACTAAATTACTTTTAAAATATGTACTTAAATTTACAAAATTGGCCTTTTATGACCTACTAAATATTAATACCAAGTTCCAAAAAAAAATATTTATATAAAATTTGTAACATAGAAGAGCAAGAACTTTAAAGTGCGGAAAACTATTTTTAAAAAAAACATAACTTGACCAAATATTGCTTGAAAAATAAGTAGTAGAAAATTAAACACAAGTAACATAGCTTATTCTTATACTTATGAAAATAGAAATTTCCTAAATAAATCAATATTTATAATAAATACTAATACAGAAGAGTGTGCACCTCCCATATAAATGCATAAGTTACTTGAACTCAAAAAACCAAGCAAGAGAAATTTTGTAATAAGCATATGATTTATCTGCATTATGTAAAGGGACAAATGTGAATGTCTTAATTTCTTACCTGATATACCCAGTCCAAAACCGAAACTTCCAACAGGATTAGAGTTCTCTAAAATATCAGTTGAAATAAAATAAGTTACAAAATTCATTAACAATGATAAAAAATTATGTATTAAAAATGTTAGTATTAAAAAATAAAGTTTCATGTGAATAAAATTGCACACATATTTTAAGAATTTATTTAATTAGAGATATAACTTTTATTTGAACAATACAAATGCTGTGATTAATTACTAAAGATGTAACAATTATTTACACAATACACTGATAGCTGATAATATTTTGTACACTATATAAAAAATTAAAAGAAAAATTGAGTAAAAATTTCATATATATATATATGAGCTCTTCTTAAATATAGTTCTAAAAACGTATTATAAGCTCAACAGAATTTTTTTCGGCATCACTTTTAAAAACCCTTTTTTATAAATTTTATCAATGTTAGTGAGTTAAAAGCATATAATGCAACATTAATGTACTGAGTTAAAGAAACATAATGTAAACAGATAATGCAACTTTTTTTTCCAAGTTCAAACTAAAAACAAAATATTTAGCAATGTTCAGAACAAAAGAGTAAAGTTTCTTTTATATTATATATACATAAACTCATTATCATTAAATATTATAAAAAACCTCAGAATGACAGAAATCAGGAGATCTTGATTTACAACAGATTACCCAATTTCAGTTATAATAAAGTGGAATATTCTCAACGGAAATTTCTGAATGCAATATTTATACAATTCTAATCTTAAAAAATTTCTGACAGTGAAAATTAATTTTTGTTGGGCTATTATTTTTGAATGTGGACAAGTCCAATTTGTTTAAATATCCAAATCATTAAGGCCTAGCATTAGAATAAATTAAAAAATATTAGCAAAGGTCAATCAATTNATACTAATACAGAAGAGTGTGCACCTCCCATATAAATGCATAAGTTACTTGAACTCAAAAAACCAAGCAAGAGAAATTTTGTAATAAGCATATGATTTATCTGCATTATGTAAAGGGACAAATGTGAATGTCTTAATTTCTTACCTGATATACCCAGTCCAAAACCGAAACTTCCAACAGGATTAGAGTTCTCTAAAATATCAGTTGAAATAAAATAAGTTACAAAATTCATTAACAATGATAAAAAATTATGTATTAAAAATGTTAGTATTAAAAAATAAAGTTTCATGTGAATAAAATTGCACACATATTTTAAGAATTTATTTAATTAGAGATATAACTTTTATTTGAACAATACAAATGCTGTGATTAATTACTAAAGATGTAACAATTATTTACACAATAAACTGATAGCTGATAATATTTTGTACACTATATAAAAAATTAAAAGAAAAATTGAGTAAAAATTTCATATATATATATACATATATATATATATAGAGAGAGAGAGAGAGAGCTCTTCTTAAATATAGTTCTAAAAACGTATTATAAATATAGTTCTTAAAACGTATTATAAGCTCAATAGAATTTTTTTTGGCATATAATCACTTTTAAGAACTCTTTTTTATAAATTTTATCAATGCTAGTGAGTTAAAAACATATAATGTAACATTAATGTACTGAGTTAAAGACACATAATGTAAACAGATAATGCAACTTTTCTTTCCAAGTTCAAACTGAAAGCAATATTTAGCAATGTCCAGAACAAAAGAGTAAAGTTTCTTTTATATATACATTATTATTAAATATTACTTAACTCATTATTATTATTAAATATTATAAAAACCTCAGAATGGCAGAAATCAGGAGATCTTGATTTACAACAGATTACCCAATTTCAGTTTTAATAAAGTGGGGTATTCACAATAGAAATTTCTGAATGCAATATTTATACAATTCTAATCTTCAAAAATTTCTGACAGTGAAAATTAATTTTTGTTGGGCTATTATTTTTGAGTGTGGACAAGTCCAATTTTTTTAAATATCCAAATAATTAAGGGCTAGCATTAGAATACATTAAAAAATTATTATCAAAGGTCAATCAATTTGGGTGAAGTTCTTAACACTACATTCTGATTAAACTTTAAATTGCAAAAATGATTATTAAAAGTTGCAACAAAAAAAAAAAAAAAGCTTTATTAATAAATGATCCACTTCCAATAACAATTTGCAAGAAATAAAAACAAGAAAAAATATACATAGCAATTTTATTAAATACATTATTATATATACACATTTATTACATATATATATACATTATACCTTAATAATAAACATTGGCTTTACTAAAATAGATATTTTAATGTAAAAAAAAATACTAACTAAATGTAGACATGTAACAATACGAATTACTTTAAAAATAATAACAATTAAATATTCATGAAAAAAGGTGGTATGTAATGCAGTGAACTCATATTAGTAATCTTGCAGAGATCTTTTAATTTATTCTTTTTTGATTACTAGCTTTGATAACAATAATTTGAATAATAAACCAGTCACAATTATATAGGAAACACAAACCAAACAGTAAGGTTGTGAAAGAATACTAAACAAAATCAGATAAATGACTTCCAAATAAGAATTGGTGCAACAGAAGGCAAGTGCATGCTTACATTGGAGTATATTCTCACAGTTTTGTCTAACAAGCGATTATTTCAAAGGCATACAGTAATTTGAGAAAGTAAATGGAAAGTTGTTTTAACTTAGATTATTAGAAATGGGCTTATTTAACTTTCGAAAAATATTTTTAGGATAACATTTTTAGGTAAAACTCTTCATTACTTAAGCAATAAATTATGCTCATTCTGTAGAATGTATGATTATAAAAAAGGTAGTTTCAATAACGTTAAATCTAATAATAAGTTCATTTTCTTCCAAAAGTGAACTTTTCAAAAGTAATCAGGGTGGGTAGCCAAATTTTACAACAAAAAATAAGCAATTTTTAAGAACTCTAAAAATATTTTTAAGCACTTTAAAAAAAATATAATTCGACAGTGTTGGTAAGTTTTTGACAATTGATGGTTTTATCTGCTTGCCAATTACGATGGAGCGTCACCAACGATGAAATTAGCAAGAAAAATAAAATTTTCTATCGCTATTAGATGGGGGGGAATGACAATGTTTAGTTGTTCCCCGTAATCAGAAAAAATTCGAGAGATTTTTTTGTTTCGATTCCAGAGGGAGGAAAATGAAGTGTGTAATTGAGAATCTCTGGCAAAATGCAGCAGCATTGCACACGAGAGACAAAAATCCTACCTACTAAATAATGCTCAGAATGTATAAGCAATTGCAGACCAGCAAGTTTTTCGTCAAACATGTAAAATGATTAGTGTTTTCTGACACTACGGACGGAAGGTACGGCAAAATAGATTGGAGTTGAATTAATTGTGAAAACGTTAAATGGGACAATGACTTTTTGCATAATTCGTGGCGAAAATCAACATGGTAAAGAAAAATTCTCATTTTGGAAAAGGAAAAATTAAGCACTTTTTAAAAACACCGATTGAAAAAAGCACCTTTAAGGGCTTTTAAAAACGAAAATCAAAAATAAACACCTTTAAGCACTTTTTAAAAATGCTACACACCCTGATAATGACTCATTTAATGTCTACTTCCAGTGCAAAAAGAAATAAAACTTTAGTTAGCAATTTAAAAAAGAGCTATGTATTTATTGCACTTACTATTAAATTGCATAGGCTGTCCATTTACACCAAGACCTTTTCCTATTCCGTGAAGACCAGCTATAAATAATAAAGTTTGTTATAAGAAGAATTATTAATTGAATTTAAATTATTTTTTAGGAAGAAAAAAATCCACATACTTGGTAATTTGGAAGGCAAGTCACCATCTTCAGAAAATTTATCCTGAAAATATAATTGATCAATAAATTATGCAAGCTAATATTAATTTACAAGCAACAAACAAGATAGTAAAAACTGAGTAAGTTGACCACAGGTAGTATGCTGCTTTAATAGTCAATATACACAGGTAACTTAATAGACAAGCACATACTAGTTATTTACAAACAATAACTTCTTAAAACATCAATACTAAGGAATATATAATAAATACAATTAGGAAGGTATATTAGTATAATATATACAATTAAGGAATATATAATATATACAATTTAACATTTTACTTATTTCATTTTTTTTTAAGTATAATATTGTTATACTTACAATATAAATCTATTTGAAACAAAAGCTCTTAATATTTTCCCTTATGATCAACTTACTTGGGCATTTTAGTTAGCTTTTAATACTGTTTCACCAATACAGTGAAATTTTAATTAAACCTCCAATCCAAAAGTCAATCCAAAAGTACATTTTAAGCACTCAAAAAATATTTTTAAGCACTTAAAAAAAAAAAAAAGGAAAATTATATTTGTGATATGAACACTGTGTAAAATATTTTCTCCCCATTGATAAAAAATAATTGAAATAAAAGTTCCTCAAATACGTGAACATAAAATTAACAAAATGCAAAAACTTTTCAGACTTTAACATTATCATAAAATTCTGGCAAAGAACTCCATTCATCTTGATTTTATTAACCACAAAAAAAAAAAAGAAAAAAGAAAAATTATACACAATTTTAAATATATTTAATATAGAATTTCCTCATTCTACTTTTTAAATTAATTAAAATAAATTTTCTAGAAAATTAAATGTTATTTCTAAATTTATATAAAAATTTTAATTACTTTAGAAAACTGTTTGTTTACTTAATGTTTACATAACAAAAATATTTACAAAATTCTAATAATTATTCAACATACTGAACTGATAAAAATGTGTAGATAATTTAGAAAACTTTGGACGGAAAAAAAAAGTGAATATATTTTAATTTAATTTCTTTCTATTTAAATTTTTAATTTGGTTCAGTTTTTCTATTAATGGAATGATTAAATACATTTTTCAATTTTGAAATGAAAATGCAATTAGCATTAAGGGTAAATATTTTTGTCTACAGTAAGTTTTAAATGGGAGGCTAATATTTCAAAGTGATGAAGCTCTGCAATTGTTCACTGCTCTGGACTCGCATGAAAATACTTTCTCGGTGAATGATCCCAATGTCATTATTTTAAGATTGGGGCACTGATCCGAAAATTGAAATACAAGAACGGCAAAGGCTTGCCTGTGACGAAGACAATGGCTCATCAGCAGTGAAGAAATTAAGAAAATAAAATTGGCCATGTTTAGTTTCGGCCACCGATTTAAAGCCTGAAATNTTCCCTTATGGTCAACTTACTTGGGCATTTTAGTTAGCTTTTAATACTGTTTCACCAATACAGTGAATTTAATTAAACCTCCAATCCAAAAGTACATTTTAAGCACTCAAAAAATATTTTTAAGCACCAAAAAAAAAAAAAAAAAGGAAAATTATATTTGTGATATGAACACTGTGTAAAATATTTTCTCTCTATGGATAGAAAATAATTGAAATAAAAGTTCCTCAAATACGTGAACAAAAAATTAACAAAATGCAAAAACTTTTCAGACTTTAACATTATCATAAAATAACTAGTTTCTGGCAAAGAACTCCATTCATCTTGATTTTATTAAACACAAAAAAAAAAAAAAAAAAAAATTATAAGCATTTTTAAATATATTTAATATAGAATTTCCTCATTCTACTTTTTAAATTAATTAAAATAAATTTTATAGAAAATTAAATGTTATTTCTAAATTTATATAAAAATTTTAATTACTTTAGAAAACTGTTTGTTTACTTAATGTTTACGTGATAAAAATATTTACAAAATTCTAATAATTATTCAACATACTGAACTGATAAAAATGTGTAGATAATTTAGAAAACTTAGGACGAAAAAAAAAATATGAATTCATATTGCTAGTATAAATTGGTGAATATAATTTAATTTAATTTCTTTCTATTTAAATTTTTAATTTGGTTCAGTTTTTCTATTAATGGAATGATTAAATACATTTTTCAATTTTGAAATGAAAATGCAATTAGCATTAAGGGTAAATATTTTTGTCTACAGTAAGTTTTAAATGGGAGGCTAATATTTCAAAGTGATGAAGCTCTGCAATTGTTCACTGCTCTGGACTCGCATGAAAATACTTTCTCGGTGAATGATCCCAATGTCATTATTTTAAGATTGGGGCACTGATCCGAAAATTGAAATACAAGAACGGCAAAGGCTTGCCTGTGACGAAGACAATGGCTCATCAGCAGTGAAGAAATTAAGAAAATAAAATTGGCCATGTTTAGTTTCGGCCACCGATTTAAAGCCTGAAATCTGTCGCAAAATGCAAGAGTTGAATATAAGCATGCAGCCTACGAGTAATTTATCCAACATGCAAAGTGATCTTAGTTCAGAAATTAAGCACTTTCTATATAAATCCAATAAAAAAAACCACCTTTAAGGGCTTTTAAAAAAACAAAAAACTGAAATTAGCACCTTTAAGCACTCTTTAAAAATGCTAAGCACCGTGATGGTACCGCAGTAAAGTCATTAACAAAAAAATTTATTCTAAATTACGATAAAACTCTCCCAGAAATCAAAGTGAATTCTGGGAAAATCATGAAACAATTATGATTGAAATTTAATGAGTGAAAAAAGCTAATCTACAGTCTTTTCTCCAGCAGCGCTTGTAGTAGTTAATAGCAGTATTAGTGATGTTTTAAAATTTAGTTTCAGTTTATAACACACCCTTAAATACAGTTGAAATGAAAACTGAATATCACTTTAAAAGTCTAAACATTTACATACTAAATTTTAATACAACATTAGTTACTAAGAAATGGAATGAATAAAATTCTTACCATACGAACATTCATGATACGTGCATACAATCTTTGACCATTAAACATTGCTGGTAAAAAGTTAAAGAAACATTATAAATACCATCACATCAAAAATTTACTCAAGTCCTTTAATAGAATAAATTGCAAACAGTCAATAAAAATAAATTTTAATTTTTTTTCACTTAATGCATTCACTTATTTGTAACAAAATTATTTTCTCACGGATTGCAATATTCGGCGATCCCTTTGCCATTTTAAAGAATGTTTGAGCATAATCGAACAAACATTCAGTTTCTTATAAGTCAACAAAAAGACGAACACAAGACTACTTATAAATGCATAGAGAACATCAAAAGGAAATTTTCCATTAAAAGAACGCCATAAAGGGAAGGCAGTTGTGAACACCAGGTTACAAACAAGTCTGTACTTTAAAATTATGACTCCAATACTACACACCGGTGAGTTCAAATCTTATGCCAACTGTTACTAAATTTTTACCAAATTCTACAAAAAATATTTCATTTTATTAAAGTGTATGTTGATGTCAAATTACATATATTTCTATTTTTATAAGAGTTAAATTCAATTTAATTTAAAAATACATTTTCTAACATATTAGATAAAGAAATAAATTTTAAAAAATATATTGGCATAAAAGAATGAAAATGTGTCAAAACCATAAGAAATGACATCACACATTAACATCAAATACGCACTCAAGCTTATTACAAGGTTCTACAGCGACTATTGATGAACTAGAAAACAATTACAGAAGCATAGCTGCCAACTTTTACGATTTTTGCTTAATGTTTTTTTAATGGTGGTAGTTGAAAACTATAGTAAAAGCATTAAAGCTAGTAGCAACTTTTAAATTTGTCACTTTTTCAAAGTTTATCAAATTCTTTAATGTGATTTTAAAAATAATTTTAAATTTTTCTAACGCAGAGTAATATATTAAAGCACAAAATTTGTTACGAATAGAAAATTTATATTTTAAAAATTTGCAAGTATGCAAATGATGTATTAAACATCACACTGGACATCACATTTGCATTATCTTATTAACTTTGTGATGCAGTTAAATCATAAAACCTGAGTTAGGCTTTGTATAAGATTTATTAATAATTTCTTTATCAATATCAATCACACCAATAATTGTATGCCAAAGGGAAAGGGGGGTTTTACCCCCTTACTTTTTTAAACACATTACAGGGAAAAGTCTCAGACTTCGGGATCGGGATTGCTAAGTATACAACAGATGTAACTTTTCTGGCTTCTCTTCGTATTCAACACACTAAACAATAAAATAGCTTATTTTTTAAAAAAATTTAAATCTATATGATATCAAGCTGTATGATATCAAGCTGTAAATCTATATGATAGCTGTAGAAAAAAAGGATACAGATAGCTTGCACAGCTTCAAGAGGATTTTCATATTCTGCAGTGCCATGTCCTTTACTCTTTCCCTCGTTATCGACATTAAGTTCTACCTTTACAAGTTTACCAGCAATTTTAAATATTTCTTCTAATTTTTTCTCTGTTACTTTGTAGTCCAACTAAAAAAAAAAAAATTTATTTAGCTTTTAAATATTTAAACAAACTAAATAGAAACATATCATTGGTCAATTATAAATATTAACACTAGACACACCAACACTTAATATATATCTATTTCTACCATAGCCGGTCAAATAACCAGACTTTATGTTTCTGGACTGAATGTATGAAATATTGATGTTGCGAAGAAAACAAACAAAAAAAACTTCATTATAATTAAACAAAATTTTATATTGCCAATTTTTATGTATTACAAACAAAGAATAAGAAATTTTAATGCATTGCTCAACACATTTTTTACATATGCAGGGTGTTTCAGTCTTGATTGATAGATAAAATGAGTACCAAACTGTGCAGGAATCCGCTGATATTGCGATTCTTATTCACTCAATTTTAATATCAAATATATTCATATTTACTTGATTTAAAAGATATTGTGATTCGTATTCTCGTGATTTTAAAATCCAATATCACAATTTGCATTTACACGTTTCTGAAAATACAATTAGTTTTCACAAGAGTTTAAAATTTAATGTCACTATTCGTATTCACGGGATCTAAAAATCATGCAGCTCGATTCATATTTATGCTATTCAAAAATCCAATATTGTGATTTATATCATTGCATACTTAAATCCAATACCCCTAGTGCAACGTAAATAAGAAAAAGTAAAGTTCTAGTTAGTTTTAAAACTTCAACATCAAAAGTTAAGCTCTCTACTTGCATCATCAATGAAAGAAGACGTAAATAGTTTTTAAGTCAATATTAAGTTAGCGAAAATTAGTCTAAATAATGCTGTTGTTCGAATATTTTGGACTTCACTAAATAGTCTAAAATTAGGCTGGTGTGATTATTTTACAAGAAAATGATTCTTTGTACAGAGGCTGAATTATATGAAAGTCCTCATGTATCATAATCCACATATATGTAGTCTGTTTATGGTAATTTCAGAACAATGTTTTCTTATTTTAATTGGGGATGTTGCCTTTGTTGAATTATTCGAAGATGACAATGGAAAATTTAAAGGCTGTGGGTAAGTTACGACTTTGATATCAATAGATATGTCATAGCAGGATTTTTTACATGATACCACTTACTATTCAGTATCATATCAGAGCTAAATTAATCAGTATTTTTTTACCAAGTTTCTTTATGGCTGAGTGGTAGGACTTCACACTCCCGTGTCATAGGTCTGTCCTGGGTTTGACCCTCGGACCGGGCAAGGTTGACTCTGCCTTTCATCTCTACGATCGATCGATGAAATGAGTACCAAGCATGCCTCTGGACTAAACACAAGGGGTTCCACATTCGGCTGACCACCAAACCCGAACATCTGCTCCATCACCCAAGATCAAGAAAACTGAGATAGGCACAGTAGGCCTTGGCCGCTGTTGCACCACTGAGTTCAGTTTAGTAATATCTAAACAAACTTTAGAAGTAATACTTCCTCAAATCAATCAATTAAAATGTTTGAGCCAACAATTCAGATTTCTATGATTTTTGCATGTTTGTTAGATTTGCTTCTTACTTGATAGATAAAAATTAAATTTTCAAAATTTTTGAGCTCTTTGTTTCAGAGTTAAAAACATTTTTGAAATATGGAAAAATCCTTTTTTTTTTTTTTTTTTACAATTGCATAATTTTTAACTGCTTTAGCTCGAGATCGATTCGACATAGAGAGCTAAACTTTGTGTAATTGTAATAGAATTTCCTAAAACATGTAGCATACTAAAGTCATCTTTTAAAAAAAATTAAACTCTTAAAATTCATATTAATTTTTTTTTCTTAATTATTTAAAGACTTTGAATTACTTTCAGAAAAAAATACGAAATTTCCATTTTGAAATTATTTGAACATTCTATTCCTTGAACTATTTTGAACATTCAACTTTATTCTTTAAAAAATAACATAACCATGTTATATATTTATAAAATGCCATTAAACTGAATAAAAGCAAAATTTAGCTCAAATGATTCTAGTTACAAATTATTAATAAATTTTAAAAAATAATAGTTCTAACAAATAATTCTAAAACAAAATCTAAAACTTTTCATCCACTCTGCTAGCTCTACTTGTGAGCCTACCATCTTGCCCATTGGTTTATTTGGCAGGGTAAAATACTTAAATTGAATAAGAAATAGAAAAAATTATAACTCACATTTGATATGAAAACTTTGTTATTTAAAGGTCCATTTATCCCAAGTGATTTTAGAAACTCTGGATTCAGACCATATGTGTTGAATTGTGGTTCTCTAAAATCATTGCCACCAAAATTATCACTACCTCGCATGAATTCTCTATCGGAAGTACGGCCTGAAGATCGCTTCCTCTCACTCTCTCCACTATCCTAGAAATTAACACATTTCATTTTTAATACAAAATCAAACTTTTTTTTAAGAAGAAAAAAAAGTAGAACTTGAACTAAATAAGAAGCTCAAATCTTAAAATATTTGTTCCGTCAAACAAAACATACAACTAATAATATATTACTGCATATTTCACTTTTTTTTCAGTACTTTTTAGCAGTGTCCTCGTTTGTTTTCGTATAATTGTGCATTAATACCTCAAAATATGCTGAAAAATAGGCATCTTTTCCCAAAACAGCATTTTTTATACTAAATGTGTCACTTGTCTGTAGAAAATAATTTACCTATTACAATGGCTGTTATATTATCATATACATAGCTATACTTTGAACATACATTGCATCTTATTTTATCCTATTAAATTTTAATATTATTATACCCCATTTTTTAAATTCATTATACAGTAGAGAACCAATTATCCGGGATGCTCGGGACCATCGCTATCCCGGATGTCTGAATTTCCCGGTTTTCTGGATCGACCAAAAAGTGTCGTTAATCGATGTTTTATCGAACCCGAATTACAAGGAAAAAGTGTAATGCATAAAGTAAGAGAAAAAAGAAAGGTACTCCTAACTTTAAAAAGAAAAAAAATGGTAGTAAATAACATTTAAAAGAATAAAAAAATTTGCAAGTTTAGACAAGAAAAACAAGTTTAAAAAATACAAAATTCTCGTATTTATTTTTTAAAAATAATTACAATTCCTAAATTAACTAATATAAACAAAACCAATGGTTAATTAACGCAATATATTTCATACCCAATTATACGGGGAAAACGATAAAATAAAAGGAGAACATTAAATAAAAACACTTAAAAATTATCGAACCGAAACGATAGTTAAAAAAGGCACTAGCATAAATATTAAAACCCGAAACAAAGCAAGATCAACAGAATTTTTAAAAAAAACCTAATGATAAAATTTATGAATAAAAAGAATTCATTTATTGAGTGCGAAATTTATCGTGAAAAGAAAAAAAAATCAAACGTAGTGGAATCAGAAAAACAAAACTGAAATCTGATTCATAAAATAATCCTATGTTTAAATTAATAAACAATTCTTTTATTTTATTTTTTTTTTGTTGATAAAAACACAATATTTAATTATAGCAGATGTGATTCCACATCAATAAAAGCTTGCAAATGATACCGCACTTCCAAAGAATGAGAATTTATTCAGAAGAAAAAGATTTTATTTTTATTAATCGATGTCAAATAGATAAATATATTTTTCTTTTTCATCTTCTGTTCACTGACTTTTCCCCACCCCCCTCGTAAAACAAACAGAAAACGAAATCAGCATGTCACATCCTTGAGCTAGATTGACGGTCTAAAGAAGAAAATAAAACATTCCTCCCGTCCCTGCCTTCAAGGTCACGGAGGAAATGACGTTTCTCTGGGTAAACGGGGGAAAAAATTCTCCCCTTCCTTACATTTTCCTCTACTCAACTTCAAGGATGAGTTCAATTTCCGCTTTTTTTCATAATCGTTCTAGTTTAAAATGGCGGGAAAACCGATCAAAATATCCCCGGTCTTCTGGTTTCCTGGTTATCTGGATGCCGGATAAATGGTTCTCTACTGTATTTGTTTAGTCAAACAAAACATACAATTAATCATATATTTCACTTTTTTCAGTACTTTTGAGCAGTATTTTTTTTTTTTTTTTTGTATAATTGTGCATTAATACCTCAAAATATGCTGACAAATAGGCATCTTTTCCCAAAACAGTATTTTTTATTCAATTGCGTCGAATTGTGTCACATGTCTGTAGAAAATAATTTACATATTACAATGGCTCTTATATTATATACATAGCTATCCTTTGAACATATATTGTTTCTTATTTTATCCAATTCAATTTTAATATTATTATTACCCATTTTTTAAACTCATTATACCAAAATTCCCCTTTTAATAACTAATGATACTTTCAGTGAATTGAATTCGTATACTGAACTGAACAAAAGTTTTAAAGTAAGTTAAAACAATTCATTTTATTAACTAAATAACCAATGCTATAAAACTAAATATAAAATATAGAAAGTGATTCGAATAAATTTATCCATAAATAAAGTGGGACAAGCTTAATTTCAGATGAATTAAAAAAAAATTTTTATAGAAACTACCTGTAAAGGTTATTTTTTTTTCTTTTTTTTTAACAAATAGTGTAGACTCCGTGCAAGCGGATGGCAGAGGTGGAAAACACTTTATTTTCGGGTTGGTGGGTGTCAAAACTCAAAAGTTCTGAAAATTTCTTGAGAAAAATCATTCAAAAAATTTATATCTTTATAAATTTAAATTATTGTTATTTTCAAAACATGATATTTTAAATGAATTATATGCAGCATAATTTAAATGAATAATTATGTGTAACTTTACTTTTATCTCTAATCACATCTATTATTCTACCAGGAAAAAATGTTTACAAATGAAAGAGATGCCAAATATAAATTCTTGTTCTAATATTTTTAAATTAAATATACAAGAATTTTTATATATAAATGTGATCTACGATTTCTTGAAACTTCTGGACTTTGGATTTCCGGAAACATTCGGATTGCGGTTAGCGAAAAATCCGGAAATCCGAATTTTTTCCGGAGCACAATCACCCCTGTGGGTGATCTTCCTTCACTTCAAACAGTGGATCCAACCTTTGCAAGGTAGGTGATCATTTTAGCTGCTCATAGAAGCAAGCAAAGAAAGCATTATTTGCATTTTGATACATAACTTGCACTAGTAACATCCCGAAAATTTGCAAATAATTTAATGACTAAGTGAACATTTTTTAAAAACGTTTGTATATGTAGATAAAAAAAAGCTCTTTCTGGTTTGCCTTCCCTGTAAAAAAATTCTCCAAAATTTATATTTTAAAATGTCAAAGAAAAGGTTCTAAAGCTGAACTATAGATAAATAACACACTTGAACTACTAAACTGCTGATCTGAAGAAGTTTTGAAAACTGTACTCAAACTGTACACAGGTCTTCCGATTCACACAACACAAAGGGGAAAAGAAATGAACTTAATTTAGAGTTGTAAATATTGAATATAGTGCAAATAAACCATTCAATGAGAACTGATATTAGAAATAAAGTTTGATATCCATTTGGCTGATTGGTGCCAAGATTATGACAAACAGCATTAATCTGAATACCAATCAATGAGAAAACAATTGATTCAGTGAGAAACCAAAAGAAAAAGGCAATGTTAGCAATAAAAACAAGCTGCTATCTTTACTTCTGCTATCAATTCTTCTCATTCAGAACTAAGTTACTTGTAAAATATTACATATTTTTGTAAATAAATTATAAACCATAGACATTTTTGTTTTGCTTATTATGACATATTTAAGTAATTATACTTTACTTTGAAATAAATAAAAAAAACACACTTTTAACTATGGGAGATTATTTTATCCTAAATCATAAAGCAATATTTATATGTGAATGCAGAAAAATGTAATGTATAACAGGGTGCGTAGCCAAATTATTCAACAAAAATAAGCACCTTTTAAGCACTTTTCAAGCACTCAAAAAATATTTTTAAGCACTTTAAAAATATATAATTAGGCAGGGGTGGCAAGTTTTTGGCAACTGACGGTTTTATCTTGTTTAAACCGTCCTGGCAAAGAACCTTTTGGCATTGTTTCTGACAACTGTCAAAAATCATGAAATTTTAAATCGTGCAAAACGAATGAAGTTTTCATACGCTACGGACTGACAATACACCAAAATAGATTGGGGTTGAATTAATTGTGAAAACGTTGAAAAGAATAATGTGAACAGTGTCTTTTTGCATAATTCGAAGTGAAAATCAACATAAAAGGAAAAATCTTATTTTGAAAGAGGGAAAATTAAGCACTTTTTAAAAACACCCAATGAAAAAAGCACCTTTAAGGGCTTTTAAAAAACGAAAATCGAAAATAAGTACCTTTAAGCACTTTTTAAAAATGCTACGCATCCTGTATAAGATAATTAAAAAATATGAGTAAATGGCATTTTCAAAAAAAATATATCTACTAAGAGATAATTTTGTTTAAAATTGTGTTGTATCATAAATTATGTTACTTGTTACTAGTGTTTGGCACATGCAGAGTTTAGTGCTTGGTAAGAGACGGCAAGATGATTTAGTAACAACCATTTTAACAAAATGATCGTAAGAATTTATGTACATATGATTATGAATTAAACAAAACAGTGTCATGGCAATCAATTTCACAGAAAATTACATTGAACTCATCC